AAAAGACTCGAGTGGGCTGAATAAGATAAGATAGAGGAGCGTGTGCATGCGTCTTACCTATGTATGTCCTGCCATCACATCCTTTCTGAAATCCCAAGAAACAAAAATGTGGGTGAATCGGCAGATCTAACAAACAGTGCTGCAGTTAAGCCTTTGCAGACTTGGTAGCAGCCACAGCTCTGGCTATGAAACTTGCCACTGTCTTGCTGCTTCGTCTTGAAATAGCTGGTCAAGGGCAAGAGACCTCCCAAGCCCATGTCTTCTCTGATGCTATATATATTACAAACTTTTCTCTGAAAAGCTCCCTGACATTTTCTCAGTGTATGGAAGACTTAGAGAAAACACACCCGTGCTTGAGCTGTACAGGGCACTATGTGACAGAGAGGAAGGATGTTGCTGGTCTTTCACAGATTTGCTTAGCAGCCTTTAGCTCTTTCCTGGGTGACCCAGAACTTGCGAATTGAGAAAGACAGAAACAAATTCTAGGCTCTCAGTACTGTGAGGTGCCTGATCACCTAAAATGTGTTGGTTCTGGAGGCACATAAAAATGTAAAATGCATTTTTTTGTTGTTTTCTCTTATTTAATGGGTTATTTCTAGAGAAGGACTGTGTCAGGGCAGCGAGTTTCTTGCATTTTGGCCGAGCCAATCGAGAGACCCGTAAGAAAACAGTCATCTCTTGTTGTGTGACTTCCAGCCATTTGATTTTGTAAGCAGTTTAGCTCTTTCTCTAGTAGGTCTTTTACAGCAATATTTGTCTGTACTCTTTAATGTCTTACACAAAGTTCTTCAAGCTAGAAGAAAGGAAGGTGTTCCTTCTTAAAATACTGATCAGTTATCACTCAACTGGATGTGAATCACTTTTTTTTTTCCCCGTTTTTATACTACTATGTCTTGAATACATTATAGAATCAGAGTCCAATGTAGCACTTTGTCCCCAATTTCTGAGAAATTCTATATGCTACTACTGAAAATCTATGGGCAACAGTTTTTTATTCCAGTTCCTCTGATACTACATTTTGATATTGTGTATGCAACTCTGATCTGTTAGCCCTTAGCAAACACTTAGGAAACTAAACCAAGCAAACATTTAAACTATTATAACTAAATCAGCTTTCTAAGAGTTACTGGTTTCTCATGTCATTAATAACCCTACTTATCACAATATCTTCTGCTCGATCAGTATTCCTAGTTGACTTTTACATATTTTCCTCCAAAACCAAGAGTAATTTTCTACAGGTAGCTTAGCATATTTAAAAAAAAAAAGAATGTAAGTATTAGCATTCCTTGGGCTGTAAAATTAGAGACCTGTGATTTTGTATCATAAGGTGGTCAAGTTATGTTGCATTTGCACTATAAAATACTCTCATGCTACAGGTTCATCAGTTTGAGGCTTTTTCATCTCTGCGTAGAGAAATTAACCAGATTGTATGCCTGTGAACCGGAGAAACCACACACCTGCATAAATGCGCACTTCTTTCTTCCTCCCTACGCCTTATTTTGCAGAACTTGTTCTGGGTTACGTTTTCTCATTGCCTTCCCACTTAAGACCAGGCTGTAAAAACAGGGAACCCTTGAGAGAACTATGCTAAATACCCGGTCATAGCCTGTCCTTGTGGTCACCAGCACCGTATGTCATCTTAGTCAGAAGTTTGCTTATGCCTGTTTGGGGTTTTTGAGAATGGCACTAGTGCTGTCAGTGGATGTAGAAACTCAGACTGACTGTAAACAACTTAGAAGTTTGAGCTCCTACTTAAAGTATTTATAAAGTACTGTACTTTGGTACCTTTCAACTGTGAGGAAGTTAGAGTTACCTATCCACACGAAATTGTTTGAGGCAGCCGTTGCCCGAGTGCTGTGTCTGCAGTGCTTTGCCATCCTTGGTTAAACAGCTTCCTGTTGGAACCGCTGGTCTGTGTAACGTTACTGTATGCGACAGAAGTGGGCAGGTGATGTGCCGTCTTGTATGCATTCAGACCTACTTCTCGGTACTGATTTTGAGAAAACTGTATTTGGATAACTCAGGTGTGTGGAGGTCACATTTTATTATATAGTCAGTTTTCCTATCATCCTGTTTGTAAACTCTGCTTTCATAACACACTTCTGCAGATTTTACTTTTGGGGATAATTTTTGGCTTAGGCATCAGCTGAGGAAGGAAGGGATGTCAGTCCCTTAGTTGCATCTGTTGTGGGCCTGGCATGGTGGAAAAATTGGGATTGCTTATAACATATTTGGCACTTAAAGCTTCTGACATTTTTCTAGAGATCCTAAACTGCTATTACCAGTAGCTGTAGTTAGTGGCTGTTAATGCTGCTGAGACTGGTAGCTTCAGCTCAGTGCTAGTTGCGTGGGTTTTTTTTGAAGTTTCTCGTGAATATAAAACAAGTTTTCTGGGAACGGCAGCAATATGGAACAGAATTAAAACCGTATCTCTAGGCTTCTATTGGCCACCTTTTCTCTGTTTCCTGGTTGCAGACTGTGAGCATGTATATTGTGAAAGGAACCAAGAGTACTTGGACTGGGAGGTGGGGAGGGGTCATGGAAAGCTGTATGTATTCAGGGTATAGAAAAGGGAAGAAAATAAAAATAGTGGGCACATGGAGAAATGCTGTGTAGCAGCCAAGAGCCGGTATGATTTTGATGGATAGGAGTCATGCCTTGTAAATTGTTAGATCTTTTTCTGAAATTGGGAAGAAAAAAAAGGCGTGTGGTATTTGTACAGCATTTAGGAAGTATATATTTGATATACTTTTATTAAAGCAAAAAAACTGTTGAAAAGGTTTCTTGGACTTTCTTTTTAGCTTGGAAAACAAAGGCCTAAGAATAATTTGTCAGTTTTAATAATAGGAGGAGACTAATGGGTTGGAAGAAGATTTTTAAAGGATCTGTGCTTGGGATGTGGTAGCCAACATTTTCATAAATGCTACCTTGCTGGTATCTCTTAGATCAGAGTTTGCTCATGAAACCGTATTACTCTGGGTAGTTAAAACTAAAGCTTAACTGGAAAGCATTGCTAAAGGGAATCTGTTATTTTCACTAAGGCAAGACATTTTTTATTGATAAATGCAGGGGAATCCACATGGTGGGTGGGTGGGGGAAATCTGAACAAGGCAAATATCTATGATGATTTCAGAATCTACTGTGCTAGCGGTTTTTTCCTGTGACAGTGATTAAGAAAGGTATAGATAATGTGACAAATTGCTAGTAAAAGATTTTAGAGCAAAAGAGCAAACATGCTAATGATACCTTCAGATTTTGAATAATCGTGTAGTTTTTGTTTCATCCATCTCAAAACGTGTAATAGGATAATAATGGATATGTAAACAGTGATGGTCGAAAATATGGAACAGCACCTATACCTTTAAAAGCAGAATGCTTTAACATAGAAATTATGCGCAAGAGGTGTGGGAGAGAGAAAAGGGATATGAGAAGTTTTAAAATTATAAATATTATGTAGAGCTGAACAGGAAATTATCATTTTCTTTCTTTAAAGTAATGTAATTGGATTTTTTTTTTTCCTTGCACTCTGCTCAGAAGAATATGTAAAGACACCTGTGTAAAAATCACTCCTGCATACTGGGCTGTATTAGCAAAAGTGTATCTATGTGGTCAATAGAAGTGATTCTTCACCTCTACTTCACACAGTTAAGGCTATGTCTGGATTACTGTGTGCAGTTTGGGACTCATCCCAGATGCATACTGGAAAGGATCTGGTGGAGGGTCTCCAAGACAGGTAGAAGGCTGAAGCAAATGCTGTACATATGGAGAGGCTGAAAGACTGGGTTTCTTCAGTTTTAGGATAAGAAGAGCAGGGTTATTGCGGTTTCCAGTGACCTGATAGGGAGGTTTAGCAAAGAAGGAGCTAGAGTCACCTCAACTGTACAGTTGTCAAGGATGAGAGGCAACAGACAGAAGTTGCAACACTGGAAATTCTGATGAGATGTTGGGAAATTTTCCCCCTCCTCACGAGATTAATCAGATATTGGGACAGTTGTTCAGAAAGGCGGCAGAAGCTCCAGCCTTTGAAAATACCCATCAGCAACTGGACTGTACAAGACTACAAGCAGTCTCATCTCACATGCTGCTGTTTGAGCAGGAGATTTGACCACCTGACCTTCTGAGGCCTTTTCAAAGAGGATCTGTTCTGTAACGCTGTATCTTTGTAGAAGACAAAAACATAGAGGTCCTAAAAGGCAGTGAACAGGTTCACAAGGTAAAAAAAGGTATATCAGTAGCTATTTAATGTTTATCCAGGATGAACACCTATCTGTCTCATACTTTTTGCTTATAGATGGAAAGAGCACACTCTGCAATTTTTTTCTGGTCCAGTTTGATTCTTGACTCTGTATCTGCCAAGAAGCAGACCAGAACTGCTGATGAAAATAACCCGATGGCCATGTGTTCTCACTGCTGCTGCCAGCTTCGCTGGAAAGTTTTAAAAAAACAGAACCAAAAGCATTAGCTTAGACCATGCATGTGATGGACACTGTGCTGGGGCAAGTGTTGTAATACCTTAAACCTACTGTAGAACTGCAACAACTTCCGTGCTGTATTCTTTTTAAGGACCTAGTGTTAGCGGTCGTTGCTGGGCTAGCTACATCTCCAGACCCAGCAGACCTTTTTTTTTTTTTCCTTTTTCCTTTTATTCTTTCCTGGGAAATGAAAACTAACAAATGGCTGTTTAATGTAGCTAAAAAATGACTTTGTTAATCACATGAGAGTTAATTTTCTGACAAGTCAGTGAATGGGAGAATTTTCCAAACCTCCATGTTGTTGTCAGTGTCAAGAAGTTATACTGTCGAGTAATAGTAGCTATTTCCTGACTGTACGTTTGTTATAGTTAGTGATGAACCACAACAAATAGTAAGTGTGTAAGATTTTCTTTTCAACCTGTCTAAATATATCTGAAAGAAAACGCTAAAGAGCTACGATTTTTACTTGCTCTGTTAACATGCAACCAATACGGAGTTTCTCTTTTTCTTTTTTTTTGTCTTAACAGCATAAGCAGCACTATTATGGACATAGACAGCACAATTTCCAGTGGGCGTTCCACTCCGGTTATGATGAATGGACAAGGAGTTCCTGCCTCCTCTGCAAAAAGCATTGCTTATAACTGTTGTTGGGACCACTGCCATGCTTGCTTCAGCTCCAGCCCAGATTTGGCAGATCACATTCGCTCCATACATGTGGATGGTCAACGAGGAGGGGTTAGTGTTACTTTTTGTTTTCTCCCTCTTTCTTTCTTTATTAGTTGTCAGTATTTTATTCTTAAAAACAGAAAATTTGCTACTGTCATTAAAGTATCAGTTCTGTAAGTAGTGGCAACTAAGGTTGGGCCTGCAGCAGTCTGGTATTAGGCATTCAGCTGTTGCGTAGTTCACTTTATTTCGTGTTCTGTGTTTTTTAATTGAATGCCTAACTTTAAGAATGTAGTAAGTTCTTTTTAATAAATGATTTGAGGATATCAGGTTTGTGATAGATGTGCTAACTTCTCAACATCCTGAAGCTGTTGGTATATCTTTAAGTGCTTATACTTGGAATTCATTTGCTTAAAACTATTAGTGTACGTGTTACTGCAGGTGAACTCAGGTGAAGTCATATCTTGATTATGAATAGAGTCTCACTAGAAGTAAAATATGTGCAGAATGTAGAATAGCGAAGATGTAAGACTTACTGACTTAAGAGTACAAAGGCTTACCAAAACAGCTGTCTGTAGTACTGACAGCAGGTATACCTTCAATATAATTGCAGCTAGTGTTTTGTTTTTGTTTTTTTTTTTAATTGAGGTGCATAAGTAATCATGTGTATTTCAGTCTAATCCCTGGTCAAATGATGCAATTTCTGTTGTTCTCACAATTTTAATGTTTCAAAACATTTTCCAGCAGAGTAATTTCGACTCTGTACTTAACTACCTGTCCCTCCCCAACCTCCTAAATTACCTTTAATATCTGGAATATGTCATGTGAACTACCTTTACATCAAACACAAGCAACCTGCCTGCTTTCGGTGCTGTGTGTTGCAATTCTTTAATTTCTTGGAGAGCTGATATCAAACCTTAACCTAGATTAATCACTATATTTTGACTTTTTGTCCTGTCACGTCTCCAGAATTAAAATGTTAGGCATTTACACTTTCTCTTGAGTGAATGAGAGACTTAAATAAAATGCTAATTTGCATTACTTTATTATGTAATAGTGTCACTACGACAGCCGTGGCTCTGGTTGTATTTAGCTAATGTTTTTTTGTATGACTGAACTTTCAGCTTGATATTTGGTGACTTTTTTTCAGTCCAACCTCTAAGTATAATCGTGAGTCGGCTTTTTAGCCACCCATGAGGTGATCTCTGTAGTTCTATTCATAGGTTTATAAAAGTGTTACATGATCCTGGATAAAACAGTGAAATGGATGAGATGTATCGCTATCCTGTGGGCTTTCACATAACTGCATCTTTGGGGATCTTTATTATCCCGTCCATGATCTATTTTAGTTTCTTAAAAAGGGACTGGAAGATTTTTCAGGGTTTGTTTGGAGTTTTTGTTGTTACTTTTTATTTTACTTCTGTTCATTTACATTGCACGTGACATGATTTGTGGGTACTTTTATTTGGAAAATATTAGACTGTATTTGTCTTTCTGAAAGAGGAGGTTGTGGGAAGCACCAAGTGTCTCATAACTATTGCATTCAATGCACACTTTTTATCCCCCTGCTGGAGGTGGTTTATTTTTTGAAAAGTTCTTCAACTTGATGCTATGGAAGGGGACCGATGCTGGCTGTTTTGTTTCAAGGATTTGTCTGCCACCTGCTGGTGAGGTGTTTAAGTGGTGTTAGAAATTCTATTCTTGTAGGTCTGACTGGATTTCAGGTACTACTTAACTAGAATGACTATAGATTTGAAGAAAAGTGGGGGTAGTAACTGCTTATTGAAAATTTAAAAGCAATGTGACAAGCATCCTTGAATTGTAAAATGTATGTTTTCAAGCTAATACTGAGATAATGGCTCCAAACTAAACCAGGTAGGTCGATGAAGAGCCTGGGAAACTCTTTGACAAAATAGTTGTACTGCCCAAAAATTTGTTTTCAGAAATATTTTAAGTTCAGCCTTTTGACAGGGGTTCCCGAGAATCCTTGCGTGGACATGTGGTGGATTGTTATAAAACCAAGTGCTTTTGTCCCTGGAGGGATTGCATGTCCACAATCTGTAACTCTGTAGTAATACTCCTTTCCTGAGTGCCATGCAGTCTGCAGATGCTGAGGGAAATATTGGGACAGTTACGGAGCTGTTGCACAGCCAGTCCACTCGGAAATTCCAATTCTGTGGCTTCAGGGGGATCTCAGAACTGAGGAGCAGCAGATACCAAAGGTTTAGGGGTTGGACCTCATGTGTCAAGAGGTCTGGATAAGTCATACAGACGTGCGGGGTTTTCCAGCTTTGTATTAGTAAGGAGGGTTATCTAAGTAGATATACAGTGGGTACATACCACTCCTGTGGCGGCTCTTTTGTTTTGAAAATACAATCTTTTGAAGATTGAGGTTTTTTAATCTCCGAAAGAGAACAAGAAACTCAAATCCAATTAGTTTGCTGTGGTTCTGAAAACCTGTATTATGGACAGTGCTATTCCTGGAGACTGTATCTTGCTGCTACAAGTTAGGGCTATACCTACCTTCACACGCCGACCTGTTGAGGAAATTCTAATGAAAAGCAAGTTCATCAAGCTTTTCTGTTCTCTCAGTTATAGATAGACATAATTGAGAGAAGAGAAAGAAGCATGAGTAAGTTCTAGTCCCCTTAATGTACTGTTGTGCACATGACTATCTGTACACTGGAATCGCAAAACACCCATAGATTTTGAATCCTGTGAGAAATTGTAACTTTCTTTATTAGGATTTGAGTACAAGGCCCTAACTAGAGGTATCCAGTATTCCGTAATATAAACTCCGGTATTTAAACAACTGTATTGTAATTGAGTTTTTACTTTTTGTATTCTCAGAAAATAAAAGTATGAATTGCTTTTGAGTGTAAATGATTTTCTTTCTGTATCTGCTATCCAGAAAATGTAAATTTGTCTTGTATAAATGCTGTGTTTCAGTACATGGTGGATACAGATATTGAAACAATATCAAACACAAACTCTTTACAGTGGATGCTGTGGCTCTCAATTGTGTTTATCTGCAAAGGCATCTGGTTTTTTTGAGATTTTATTCCAGTGACCTGCTTTTTTGAATGCTTGTGGTTGTAATTATTTTTTCCATGGTGAGATATGAGAAGTGCGTTGCAAAATTAGTGGTTATTGTTCAAAATTTTTTGATGTACTTTGTATTGTGAAAACAGGCCTCTTTGCTAATATGGGTGTTTGGTTTTTTTTTTTGTACTGTTTGACTTCTGTAAACTTACCGCATTTTTACTCTATTAGGTGTTTGTTTGCTTGTGGAAAGGTTGCAAAGTATATAATACACCTTCAACAAGTCAAAGTTGGTTGCAGAGGCATATGCTGACACACAGTGGGGACAAACCTTTCAAGGTAAGGTTCACTGTAAGATACATCATCCCTTATTTTATGAGTGATCCTATTTATTTTTCCTGATACAATATATTAATTGAAAAATGTTATCACAGGAGGATTTCTTAAAATGTATCCAGTGAGCTGAGCCTTCGTCTTTGCAATAATAGTGCCCAAAGGTCCTGTTCTGTTCTGAAAACAGGTGAAGATACTGTTATTGCTTCTCTATCCCTGTTTCTTTTAATCTATAAATGATAGGGGAGTGTTAAACTAAATAGTACTGAAGTTTGGGTTTTTTGTGAATTTTCCAGTTGAGCTGCTTACATTGTAACAGTGAGATATTTTGCCTCATGCTTTACACTTCCACATTAAACTTTGGATCATGCCTGATGGTGCATATTCTGTGCTTGAAAGAGCTGGTTTTGTTAACAAAATTCAGTTGAAGCACAGTCAGTGACTATTTATGGTTAACCTCTCTGAGAATAATAAGGAAGTCAGGAATGCAGGACCGTTGAGCTGACTGTGTTTCCTGCGTAGTATTTTCTAACTTTCTCTTTCTTTCTCCCCCTAATCTGTACCTGCAATTCTAGGTATAGTAGTGTTTATCATTCCCATATCCACCAATCCGTTATTAATGAGTTGCTTCATCCTCTTATGGATACACTTGGGGCAGTTCATAGCTGTCAGTCCTGGATCACTTGATGGTAAGTCCCACCCACGCTACTTCAGACTGAAGTTCTCCTTCCATTTAGGATATGAAAATTAATTAGGGTTTTTTTAAGTTTAGGTAGCATTTTTATGCCTTCTTCTCCCACAACCCCACCAGTTTTAGTCACTGTTTCTCCACTTCCTTCTCTTTCTTCTCAGGTAAAATCTTCTGTGTTTTTTTTTTTAAGGCAACTTTATTACTAAAAAATACTTTTCTGGTACAGTGATGTCTTCTAGAAGTTACTACTTCTGCATAGCTTATAACAGTAGTTATGACAGAAAACAAAACTAAACTCAAAACCTAGAGAGTAAAAATAGTGCATTGCATGTGAAAAAGTTTTTTAATAAGGGTTAGACTTTTTTCCCCTATAGAGCTGTGTAGTTTAGTCTGCAAACTTCTGACTGAAAGAGTGAATAACAACAGGAAACTTGCTCTTGAGCTTATCCTACCCTTTTGTTCAAATGAATAAGGTTGGCATGTTTTTGGAAGTATAGCATAAGGTTCATAGATATCCCTCAAAGTTGACAGATGTGATTGTTCCAGCAACTGATCTAATCTTCAGTGCTAATGCCTGAGTAAAAGAAAAAAACACCAGTCATCAGAGGAAACTTGTACCTTAGGTCTTCTCATTTTGGAATTAAATATTTTGTATTCCTTAAATTATAATGGCAAGCTTTGGTCTTAAAGGAAAGCCTTTCAGTAGGGTAATTTCTATATTTACTTGGTCTAGATCAAAGAAACTCAATTTTAGATACATTGCGTTTCAGAGGTGGGCATGGCTCTGAAATACCAGTAGTACTTTTGAGTCTGTCAGAATTACCTAGCTAAGTCAGTAAAAGTTGGTATCCCAGGTTTTTTCCTAGGCTGGTTACAGCTAGAGCCCTAAAATTTAAAACAATTGGTTCTGATGATAATCATCGTGTGTTAAATACGTGTCATTTCACCAGCTGATTTTCTGTACTTTTTGGTCATACTAAGGGAATGAACAAAACCCAGTCTAGGATGGCAGTAGTTAATCATCATGGCTGAATGCGTGTCACTTCAACATTTTTTCCTGCTGTTGTCTTTAGTCCCTCTGTTTGTTTTTTATCTCTGTATTTCTCAGTCTCTTCCTAGGGGCTATGAATGGAGGATAATTTTGGTAACATCTTTTGTTCCCCTGTCGTTTATGCTGAATATAGGCTTCAGGGCTCACAAGAGGTAGCAAAGTATGTAAGTGTCTGTGATAGTAACCTATTAATTAACTAGTCCTCTTTCCTTGCTTGCTTCTTTTCTTTTACAAGCTTTTGAAATCTACCGTCTGACACAAAAACACTTGCAGTGTTGGATGTTAGTCTTGATCAGTCCAAGAAGAGCCATTGCTAATTGTTTTACAGCAGTCATTCAGAAATAGAGCAAAGTTTTTCGTTTGGTGTGTCTAGCTGTTCTTACAAATCTTAATTGCTCACCTTTTGGGAAAAGTCAGATTTTTTTCAAGTCAGAGTTAGATTAAGGACCTCTTGTACTTGATGATTGATGCAGACCAAATATCTCCCAAAACCTAAACTACAAATGAAATTTCTGTTGCCTCATGATAATATACTTGAGTTCTAGCATAAAAGGAAGGAATCTGTCATTTCAGAGAACTTGCTGAAAATACCTAGTCATTCAGTGTTTTATTTAAAAAATAAATTAATGTCAGGATTTTTGAGTAAAGCTGTAAAAGGCAGTAATGGGAATAGTATAGCTGTATGATGTTGTGTGAAGAACTGCTGTTCAGGATGTTTTTAAGAAAAGCAAAGAATGTTAGCTAGGAAAGTGACAATTAGAAGCATGGAAAATTTACTTTTGTAAAGGTAAAAGAACACTATAATCGTGTGATGACCAGAGGAGATTAATAAACATACGACAGGTTGCTATAGTCTTATATTTCTAGTCAAAAAAAGAGACAAAAGTATTTTCTTAAGTTGAAAGGCAGTTGGGGACTGTCTCACGCATAAAGCTGTCCTTTGCATTAGAACTGTTCTGTTGAATGATATGTCCCTGTCCTGTCACCCTTTTGCTTGCAAGTGGGCTCATTTTGTGTAGTTGCCCATTTTGGGTTTAATTATCTATTTTTGTGATACTCATGGTGTTCTCCTTTGAGTAAAAGCTGTATCCAGCTGTAAATGAGCTGTTGTGCTTTCATGGTAAAAGATACTTGTGGGTTTACTTGCCTTTTCTGTGCATTCATATAAAGTGTGTGACTGTATAGTTCATTTGTCACAGAAATGAACCCACTTCTAAATTACAAAGGCAAAATGTTTCATATTTTCATAAGTTTCTGCTGGTTTTTTTTGTTTGTATGGTTTAGTGTGTCCCGCTCAGCATTAATATTGCAGTACCTGTGTCACAGAAAAGGGAAATTTCCTTATGAATACATGTTTTTGAGACCGTTGTTATGCTAGCTCCATTTTTGTATGGGGCAGTTTCTGGGTAGTGTATGTCAAGCTCATAACGAGGAGACATTTTATGTCTTGAGTCATCTGCTGAACGAAGGAAAAAAAGAGATACCCTAGATCTTTGGACAGAATTTAGGACCTCAGTTCCCCTTTAGTCATCATATTGCTTTTCTGTTTTTTCCCTCCCCCCCCCTTTTTTTTTTTCCCTAAGTGTTTTTAACTCTGATGACCTTGGGTTTCATGTGGGACACATGGATGGATTTTTTGCTTGTTTTTTTTTGATGTCATCATCACTAAGTTTTGTTACTGATAAAGTGTCTTTTCCTATGGAATCCACCAATCCCTCCACCAAAGAAAAAGTGTCCATTAAATGAGTCATAGTTAGCATTGCATGTTTCTGATTAAGAATTTACTGGCCTTCTTTGGCCCACTGTTAAATATTTTTGAAGTTATGCTGCTCCTCTGATACCTGAAGTTCATTGCTCTTGTGCTGCTGGAAGTTTTCTCTTTGCTTATTGCAGTCTGATTCTAGCCATCCTTTCATCTTTTTTTCTTTTTATTTTGGTCATTATAGACATTCATTTAGTATAGGTATTCTCAGAGCATGTAATTGTTTCTCTGAAGATGTTTAGTACCTTCATGTTTGTGTATAATTTTTACATTCAGAGTTGAGAGAGAAAAACTGAAACATTATTCTTTTTTAGTTCTGTTATTACATAATTTTTTACAGCTTTTTAGAAACTGTTGGAATGTTGTGGAGTGTCATCAACATGTAGTGGTGATCCTGTTGAGGACTGAGCAACTGAAAAACTTTCAGGCTTTCAGAACATGTAGACAGGTGGACCTAAAGGAATCATCTGCTGAGTTAGAAAACTGATGCTTGTAACTGTCTTTGGCAAGCTGAGAAAAAGTGAATGAAGAAATTCTATCTTACTTGTGCTAAACCTGGCTGTTACAGATAATAAGTGTTTGAATAGTTAATGTGCTGTAACAACCTGCATTTTTAAAAAAGTTGAGCAAAGTACTATTTGCCATGCCTTGTTGCTGTACGAGGCATTGAAAGTTAAAGACCTATAAAATGAACTCTTAAAATCTAGTCTAGGTGACCAAATACAAGATGTTAGGCACAATGAAAGGACAAATGGTAGAGTGAGCACAAAACAGTGAGAGATTTTATGCAAAAGAACTGCATATAGCAGTCTTCAGTAAGTATAAGACTACATGTGGGTATGCTACCAGCTGCTTTCCCATACTGATTCCAGTGGGTATGCTCTTAATGGTTAAGATCAGTCATGCAAGGTTTGCTTGTGTGGGGTAGATGCTTTCAATAACAAGTGACAGAACACAGGTTCATTGGAGGCTTTCATCCTGTGTTTAAAAGGGAGGAAGAAAGTAATAACGAAATTTGGTGCTCATTCTACCACCTGTGACTTCCAGAATTCATTAAGGGGTGACTGCATTTGGTAAGACTCTGAGTAGAGTAACACTTCTTGACATCTAGAAAATGCAGCCAAGCGGCTTCAGTCCTCATTTGGAATTCATGTCTGTTATGCTTTTGGCAGAATATCTTCTATCCATTAGAGCATTGCAGATGGGGATAGAAAATATAAAGGCATTCTGCCCAGACACTTAGGTGTTGAGACAATAACAAGGTTTATCCAGATGTCTAAAAGATTACTATTAGATTTATTGGAAAAATTACACATTGAATGTTCTAAAAAGGAGGTTTGGTTATTTTGAATTTAGAACCCCCCCCCTGTATTGCTAGATATGTTCATATCCTGTTTATTAAAGTCACTGGTCATTACTGCCCATTAATAATGGTGGGTATGGGTACACTGGAGAAATTAAACTTCTTACATGTTGACTTATTTTCTCTTGAAGTAACATATCCACCAATCCGGACCCAATCTATCATATTTAAAATTGAATGCAAAATTTTAAGATTTAGGTTTTAGGGGAAAAATGAAGAGGTTGGTTTAAAGTTGTGCATAATAGTTGAGTTTGATTTATTAGAAGCCCTCTAGATCTGTATAATTATCTGGTGGGAAGCTGATTTGGTGTGACTTACCGTCCAGAGATCCTGAAGTGACAGCCTGAACTGCTCCTTTATCTTTGGAGAGAAGAGACTTTACCCATTAGTAACGGATTGCTGGATATATTATTTTAGAGAAAAAAAAAAAGAAAAAAACAGGTAAGATTTTTCTCCTCTTCTACTATTTTCTGTCTACTACAGAGGCATTCTCTGTCATCTTTGATATATCACCTGTTGATTATTTGATGACATGGTCAGGTAGTCTCAAACTACAAAATACCTGAATGTAATGATTTCTGCAAATATTTCATACTGTGGCTCAATAGTATAAATAGGCTTTCTGGAAAAAGATAATTGCTACTTGCAAGTTGCATATGTTGAGGTTTTAAGGATGCTGGTTTGGGGCTTTTGGAAGTAGCACTTGGGTAAAACAAGAGAAGTAAGTAGTAGCCTCTGCGGATAATCTGTATAGAGTATCAGTGATTTGTTTTCTTTGTACATGACTAGACAAAAGTCAGGTTATAACATTATGAGTCAAACTGCAGTTTGTAATAAAACAGTGTTTCCCATCTGACAGACACAAATAAATCTTATGAACTTGTGTTTTAAAAAGTTTTAGAAATGCGACTGACACAAAGTTTGTGTTATTTTCAGAAAATACTGCCTTTTGATATTATACTTTAATAAACTTGGAATATGGTAATGCATGCACTGTACCAAGACTTTAGGTTATTTTTGACCCCTAGCAGGTGTCGGCAAGACTGAAATTTTAATTTCTCGATGTGAATGAAATCAGAGTATGGGTGTGTTTTTTGGTTGTGTGTTGTTTTTTTTTTTTTGTTCTTTTTTTTTCAGTCTTTTTTTTTTCCTGCCAGTGTTTGTAGGAACAAGGAGCTATAAGCTGAAGTCAGGAGCACCTTAATGAGTTAGTTTAGTTTTTTAGCTTAGTTTCATGAAACTGCTTTTTTGGGCAAGACAGCAGTTTCAGGGTCTTAAAAACCAGAGAATAAAAATTTATTTGCACTACTGCACACATGTATTTTACCTGTATCTGTTGATTGTGAGTCTGATCATCTTTAATACAACTAAATGGGTCAGGTTCAAGGTCAGGTTGAGCAACCTTATCTAGCAGATGATGTCTCTACCCATGGTAGTGGGATTAGAGCTGGATCATTGTAAAGGTCCGTTCCAACCCAAACCATCCTGTGATTCCATAAGTGTGAATTTTAATCATCAGTATTAATTGGAAGTAATAAATACTTCATTGAGGTTACCGTAGCGTAAATGAGATCAGAATCTGTAGTGTTTTGAATTTCATAGATGTGCTGGGATGTCTTGCATTGTAAGTCACTACTATATAAGTATACCATATTGCCATTGTTGGAACATGGGGAATTATAGGGCAAGGTAAAAAGGTGTAGGTGGGTTTTTGGTAAAAATCTTCACAATTCCTAAGATACTTATTAGTGGGGGAGACGGGGAGGAACAAATACAGTGTGAAGGATCCTGATCTTTTTGTCAGGGAATTGTATGTTTGTAGGTAGCTCAGTACTTAGAAAACTTTACTTAACTTCCTCTAAGGATTTTTTTTTTCCCCCCTTAAAAAGAAAACGCAAATAAATATGTGAAAAATGTTACCCTATTATTTTTTTTGTCTGTTACTGTCTTGAAATATATACATATTTTAGTCCTATAGCAAGTTTTAAGTCCTTGGGGATAACACAGGTTTTTCTCTTCATGGATATGTTATGTTTTTATGATGATCATTTGCTAGGTCTGAGGCAGAAATAGACTTTTCAATTCTGCAGCCACAGTTGGAAAACGACACAGTTGGATTTTAGGGACAAAACATGCTGAGTGATGTTCTACTGCTGTTTTCTTGTCTTTCAATCAAATTTGCCAGCTTGGGGGAGGTTACTGTAAGAGCTTTCAAATTCACCCTTAGTCTTCAGAGAAAACTTACCACTATGTACATGGTTGCAGCATGACTTCTGTTCTTACTTCTGAACTCCTGTTGGAGCTGCCTCATCAGTTTGTTGGGGAGGGAAGTGCTAGAGCAGAGAGGTACACGTGAAGGAGCTGGGAAGGAGGGGGAGGAGCAAGGCAGATGTGGAAGGAGAACTTTCCAGTGGTTTAGAGTGGTGATGGGTCTTTTGCTACTTGCCCTACCGCTGTTACCTGGATCAGAAGAAAAATTGAGCATGTGAATACACAGTTCATTGTAGCCAGTGATGGAATGCATATCTTAAAATCACTTTTCTATTACCCTTGTAAGTTCAGAGCACAAGAGGAAAGGTTTGTGCCTCCTTCCCCAGCAGTATCATTTAAATACTCATTTTGCAGATGAAATAATTGTAAATATAAATAAAATACTTATAAAAATACCAATAATTATTGTAGCCAATACTAGCTTATTTGCATGCATCTTGCAATTTCTGTGTTTCTGCTTAATTATTGTTGGATCTTCTCTCATCTTTCTGTTTGAGAAAGAGAGGCCATTTTCTTTAAATAAGAACATTCTTAAATATTTCTGAAGTAATAGTAGCATCCCAAAATAAATGTGTAGATAATTGTTAATGCAACTTTCAAGTTACTGAAGTTCAAGTTTTAGACAGGACTGTATGGTAACTGCTTATTGACTTTATATAGCATTTACAAAAAGTCTTCAGCTGTTTCAAATTCAGTGTGGATAAGGATGTATTTTTTTTATTTCTGCCTTGGAAGAAAAGAGGATGTTGGAGAACGTTACTGTTATCGAATGCAGAAGATTGGAGAGCTGTTGAGAAATACAGAATAACAGTGCAGTATTTTGAAAGACAGTGGGCTTGTTGGTCTGTGAAAGGGAAGTTCTTCAGAAGCATTTATCTTCTGTGGGAAGATTTTGTCAGTGCGTTGTTAGAGATTGGTTTTATGCTATACAATATTATAGAATATAATGTAGTATAGAAAAAATTTAGTTTACCATGGACTAATTATTGAGGGTTGCAAAGTTCAGATAGAAATTTATTTTAGGTGACGTTTCTGTTTTTAAGAATTGCATGGTCTCTAAGAATTTGTCTTCCTTTTAGTGTGTTGGAGGTTGAGCCAGAAAAGTCAAACTGAGAGATCTGTCAAACTCCTGTGAGTGCAATATAGCATGCTGACATAGGTGTTGTGTTTTTTGTCATTAGTGTGTAGTTGGTGGGTGCAATGCCAGCTTTGCATCTCAAGGAGGACTTGCCCGTCATGTGCCCACACACTTCAGCCAGCAGAACTCTTCAAAAGTTGCCAGCCAGCCAAAGGCCAAAGAGGAATCTCCATCTAAAGCTGGAATGAATAAAAGAAGAAAGTTAAAGAACAAGAGACGACGATCATTACGTAAGTGTTTCTAGAAGTAGAAGTTCTTGAAAGTTCTGTCTTAGATAGGAAGTTCCCCTTCAGTGTGGTGGTTTCTTTGCAGAAGTGGGTCTGGTAGGGTTGGTGATCTTTAGCATTACAGTGTTGGCATCCCTTGTGATGGGAGAAAAACAGTTCCAGGATCTGTCTGTGTTTCTTTTTAGACTAAAGCATGTATGTGTTCAGTAGAAAAGATCAGTTTTCTGTGAGCAACAGTTTGAGTTTGCAACTTAAAGATGCCTTTCATTTTAGAGTTGCTTTCTAACTATGTAACTGTTGGAAAATGTTCTGTTTTGTGATGATGAAATCTGAAGTTCCATACGGCAGATACAGATTGCAGATTAATATAAATTGGAGATAAATGCATATTATGTAAGCTCTCTTCTGATCACAACATTTTATTAGCTTAATAGGAGTTTTACGCATATGACCAAAGTCTAATTTTGGGCAGATTTGACTTGCTATGTTTTTTTAATCTTTCTCCACTCAGTTGCTGTTTGTTAAGTTTATATGAACCAATGTGCTGAGAAGTGTGATTTTTTTTCATTTAAACTGAGAATTCTTTCCTCTAGCAAGTAATAATCACTTACCCAGTACCTTTTCTAGTCCCTTTTGATCCATTTGTTTGATTCCTGAGTTGTCCTAACATCAGACTAATAAACATGTCAAATTTATTTAGAGATTCTAATGTGCAGAAATGGTTAGGAAAGTCTAGGCAATTGTTAAAAAATTTGTTTTATAATTGCTTTGGATGCAACTCTCCAGTACTGAACTGATTATTTATTATTTTAAAACTGTTACTGTGATAGTTGCATTTTAGAATAGAGACAAGTAAAACCCATTTAGATTTTTTCCTGCTGGTATGTCAACAGCTGAAGAAAAGAATTCCATTAATTTTTACCTGTGGTGTAAAGTCAACCTTACAGTATTGGAGAGAAGCACAAGGTACCTTTTTAGTGAACCACTGGACCTGTTATACTGTCCACAGAAATGGAGCTCTGTTCATAAGCAGGCAATTATTTCAGTCCTGTCTCCTGGCTGGTGGTAGGATTTTAGTGATGGTGTGCCCGAGAACTTATGTTATTTTGCTGGGTCAGAAATGACAGTCTTATTTAACTCTGCTGTGGCAGAACACTTCGCTGTATTGATCTTTCTGTTCCTGTGAAGAAATACAGTTACCAGTTATTCAAATAGTACTGCAACAGTGGATGCACATACTAGTAGTCTTAAGTGATTACTCTGTATCACATGATTGTGATTATTCTTATCTTAATACCTTATCTGTGTTTTAAGCAACTGAAGTCCATGAAGCAGTGGTCATTTTTCTGCCTTGAATGCAAAGAAACCTGTCCTGGAAAGTTACAGTATCACCTAGAATTCTGAAGTTTATTTCCTGTGTCTGTCTTCTACACTGTGTGACAACGATGCAGTTTGATGCTCGAAGAGCCACTGTAACTGTAGCTGTGGTGATTTTTCTTCTTTTGGCTTTTTCTTTTTTTTGGGGGGAGGGAAATGTTTGGGTGTTCTTAAAATATATGTGAACAAATTATATCATTAAACACATCTTGAAAGTGTAAACTTCCAAGAATTCCTCTAATTTTGACACTGATTCAACATTCAAAGAAGGAAGAAAGCTATTTCTGTTCAGAATTTGACTTTCGAAGAGCTTTCCCTTTTACTCTAGCTAATCTATGTACATGGGAAGGTTCAAGAAGGGAAGGCTGATCAGTGAACAGTTATGTGGTCGCTTTGCAGTATCCTTGTAGTTTATCTTAGATGTAATGAAAGAGAGACTTACTTGAAATAGTTGCAGGTTCCTAAAGGATTATCTTGGTTTGTTGACTGTGTTACTAAGACTGGTCACTTCAAAATTTTCACTTTCAGAGATTCCTGAGTTGCGTCTGAGCTTGCTTCTCCATATTGATCTTGTTAGGTGGCTGATTTAATACATCTCTATTCAATTTCCACCCCCCACTCCCCGCTGGCAAAAAAATATAATTACCAAATATTATGGGAATGTTAAAGACCAGACTGTCGTACTTGAATGGTCTGCTGTCTTGATCAAGTGTTGTGCAGGAAGAAAAATGACAGCTGCTTGAGCAATTTTTTGTCGTGTTGCCTCTTGAGACAAATGCGGTGCTGGCTGTAGAGTTTTGCCTAAAGGCAAAACTCATCTCTGAGTTGGGAACTGACTACTGTAATGTATTTCTCCAGAGGGTATGTGACCCAGAAATGTATCCAAAGTTGATGGCATTTTCTGAAAATGCTAAGTATTGGTAGCTTTTCTTTAAAACTTTTGTGTGGATTATTGTTGATTAGGTGAACTTGACAAAGGGCTGATATAATTTTGCTTGTCTTTCTGTTTCTTAGCTTAGTTTTGCTTTTAGTTAAAGAATGAAGTGTTCAAGTTCTTATATCTTGTCTTCACAAGAATTACAGAATAGTTTGGGTTCGAAAGGGACCTTTAAAGGTTATCTAGTACAACCCCCCAAAAAGAATGGAGGAGGGCAAGGGCCCATAACTAAGAAGCCAAAATAACAGCATTAAGTATTTTCAGTCAGAGTATATAAAGCTAGGAACATAGATTTATATTTAGATATTTTAAAAGTGTGCAAAAGGAGAGGTGCTGGAACATATGTACCAGGTTCTTTGCAAGTTCGGTTACGAGAAGTTACGACAAATGGGTGTAAAGCAAGATGCTGTTTGATAGTGTACAGTCTGTTTGAATCACAAGTAATCATTTGACAAAAAATTAGTTTTGCATCACACAATAATTTTTCTCCTGAAAAAATATTGTCAACATGTTCTTTCTACCTCCTCATGGTTTGATTAGACCTGGGCTTTTTTTGCAAGGAGTTGAGTAGCTTATTAAATTTTTATTGGCGATTGATCGAAGCATCCTTGTGAATAAATTCTTAGCAGTTTAAATACAGCAGATTAATAAATTTGGTTCCTCTGTGTTTTATATCTGAAGGTTAACACCCTTCTGAGACATTAATGGATAAATTAAAAAAGGATGCTTTACTGTGGCTTTATATGAGATGAGAACATGATCTTGTAACTTGAACTATGAACAGAATTCTTACTGTTACTTGAATTCTTTCAAAACATCTTGCCATTCTTTTGCATTTCTTTTTTCCTGTCTGTAAACAGTGTGTGTTCTTTTAAGTTTGGAAATTAGTACTTTTATGATGAAAGCATGTTTTAGTATGGACACTTATAGCTGGTTACATGAGTGGTGCTATAGAGACCATCTGATTTGTCCTATAAATTTTGACGTTGCAGAATAATTCGGAATTACAGTCGGTAACTTGCTTTCTCTTCTGGATAGCCTTATACACATTCACTGCTCCATGTAGTTTGCCATTTAGAGGTACAGAGCCAAATATATTGAAAGTGTGTGTCTCCAAAATAGGTGATAATATTGCTGTTCTGAAACTACCTCAAATAATTTTGCAGAACCTGAGGTTATATTTGCAATATTGTCACTTGCTTTTCCAATATAAAAAATGATGTGATAGTTATTATCAAGCATGATAATTGAGTTCGCTGGAGAAATGTAAGCAAGATAAGGAAACTTTCTGTTCACAGAGTTTATAGTAAGACTATGTTAGTTACGTAAGACTTGGAATTTCATTTAGTAGGCTACTGGCATGAAGATTTTATTTGACTTAAGTAATTCATGTGTACTTAGAACTTGTATTAAGCAGGAAGGGAGATCCCTTACTCTGAAAATAAATTTGAGGGAATCGATTTAAGATACATAGAAGATACAACATTGACACTTAATAAGGAGTAGATATAACTATTTACATGCCTTTGACAAACTGTATCCTTTCTTCTGCATCTGTTGAATGTTATCTGATGGTAAATCCTGAAGAAATTTGCTGTATGAAACCAAAAGCAAAAATTTGGGGTTGTCTTTTCCATTCCACCCTTCCTCCTTCATATTTATTTATCAAATATTTATACGCTTGCATCACTGACCACCTGCAGCATGAGCTGCGGTTCTGTTGCCACTTAGAGTGAAAAAACATTTCAGTGAGATGATTGCCTAATTGGCGGTATCCAACTGAGATAGACTGAGGACAGAACATAATGTACAGATGAATGCTTAACAACAGTTAGTCCCAGGAGTGTAGGAAATAGTAGCTTTAACTGGAATTTGTAGTTTGTTTTGAAGCAATGGATAGATAATCTTGGTGAAAAGGAATATACAAGTTGATTTAAATGAAGACAACAGAACTTTGACTTGCTGTTTTTGTAGTTTACAGGATGATGTGTAGTTGATAATGTAATGTCAACTCCTATACTTAGTTTCATTGTAGTGTGTTATCTGGAGAATTACTGTTCTCAAATAAGGGTTAAAAAATCTGAATACTTTCATTCATACTTTTATTTACTCCTGCAATTTTACTACTGTATTACATACCATATTTGTAAAAATTTGTGAAGCATTTCTAACAGTATGCAGTTATATATCCCTAGTAGCAGTTATTTTTCAAATAAGGTACTTTTAGTGTAGAATTGATCGACCTTCTTTACACTTCAAATCAGAATTCAATAATTTCTGTATTGTTCAAGAAACACTTACCTATAAAAGTACTTTTCTAAAAGGGAAAATGTTGTATTAGTGCCTACTGGTTTTTACTTGTAAAATATCAGGTGAATGTTAATTGCACTTGTTATAAATTGAAGTGTAGTGTGTGATGCAGTTGGTGCTTCTTGGCTAGAAAATATTCTTTTTACTAATAATCAAAGAACATGGAATGACAACTTGTACATAGAAAGAAAAATGTCTAGCAGTGTGGAGTTTTCCCCATGACTATTCAGCATTATTACTCCTTGGAGATAAAAAATTTCTTGACAAGCTAGTATTTTCTGTATGTTCATGATAATTCTTAATGAATCCTTTGCTTTGTGTTCCACTGCAGTACCAAGCTGTTTTGTTTTCAGTGCCGTTGTTGATCTCTGTGACATCGTAGTATTTGCTGAATATATCTGTTTTTTTCAGTGATTATAAATTAGAGCAGGTTGTTTTTACTAAAAGTTAAGAATTAAGGTATAATTCTGCTTTTAAGATGTTGGTTGTTTGCACTGTCATGTTTTGAAGTAATTTAATGCTATTCTTTTAAAAAGTCACAGCTAATATTGGAACTGTTGACTCTGCTGTAAGGGTGACTTGGCCATTTAGTTTCCCATAAACGTCACAAACTAACTGAGCTGGATTTGCATTAAATCAGAACTTATACTTACTAAAGAGTTTTGGGGTTAGTTTCTTTGTGCTGAGATTTCTTATTTTTTTTTTTCCCCAAGAGATTATAACAATGGACATTGCCAGAGGTACTCAGCAAAATTCATGAATTCTTAATTTTGAAGATTAAGAAAGAATAGAATTCACTTGAAACTTAAAAAAAGAATGAGTATAATTCTGTCAAAATAGCTGTTTCATCTACAACAACTGTTTTGACGAGACTTAAATGAATTGTTCCCCTCTTGGAGTAATTTCTTCCTCTCGGTTAAATTAATGCTTGCAATTCTTTGACAGGGTAGTGCTATTGTTGTAATGATAAATGATTTACTAATGACACTTCAGACTTATTTATGTGCTTGAATGTGTTTGAATGCTTTCAATGTGTTGAACACTAAGGATCATTTTTCCTTTTTCGCTAGCAAGACCTCATGACTTCTTTGATGCACAAACACTGGATGCTATAAGACATCGAGCCATCTGCTTTAACCTCTCGGCACATATAGAAAGTTTAGGAAAAGGCCACAGCGTTGTATTTCATAGTACCGTAAGTATATATATTATGCATTCTGTTTGTTTAGCTATGTGTCTGAAAAATCTAATGCTTCAGAAAGATTTCTGTTTTCCTCTAACTGCTGTAGGCATTTAATCAGAAATAAGTAATAGTGGGTATTTCACATTGTTGATTTGTCCATTTCTATTAGTTTATTGACTTTAAAAGTGGTGTTAGTAGTTGTTCTAGCTCACAAATTTAATAGCTTGCAACATTTCCTGCCTGATATTCTTGGGGAACTATCTAACAGCAAGTATGTGTTGCAGAAAAATTTGGTTAAATATTCTAAATAAGAATGCAATTTAGATGGCATTTCCATAGTCTGAAATTGGTGGGGTTTTTTTTTTGGTTTAAAATATATAATCCTGAATAAGTGTATTTGTCCCCCTTTTTTCTTTTTCTTTTAATAAACTTGCTACCAAAATGTCGGTGAATTGCTAGGCGGAGACAAGTACCAGGTGGGGAACTGGCCTTTAGTCCTGTTTCCATAGCCTATTTTGTTAATTTCACTTGTGTTTGGGTAGGATAGACATCAGTATTAATTTAGAAAAGTTCAAAACAGGGGAAAAAAAGTACTGTATTAGGGTATAGGGATCAGAAGTTCAATAAGCTATATAACCTCACATTTTCTTAACCAAATTGGGAGATACGGGCATGTAAAAGGTAGAGATTCAGCTGATGAAAACAATTAAGAGATGGGACAAAAAGAGGGAGGTGTACTTTGTAAATTGGCAGACTAGTGCAAGATGAACTGCAGTCCAAGGAAGGAATGTCGACTGCTGTGTCTTCAGCTATGGCTTAGTTGTAACGCATGATTCCAACTATTGAACTGTCAGTCTCTTTTCATAAATAAAAGATGGTTTTATATGCATGAAACTTATTTTGCCCAGTTCAAGACTGAGGATTGTTATAAATATCTGTGGCTTGTATTAGAAATTTTTCCCAAGTGATTACTCCTGAACTTTTCTGTGCATTGAGCACCAGCTGCAGAGCGAGATTTGCAGGTGGTTTAGCTGTTTCTGTATGTAAATCTCATTCTAGTTTTCTTGGCCAACATGGATTTTACAGTGCTGTGAGAAAAGCAGATTCTCGTCTAATTCACAGCTTGCTTTAATCTGAAAGGTTATCCAGACAGACTACTAGGTTGTGGAAGCTCACCTCTGGCTGGTGGAATAATTCATAAGGAGATGGAATTAGAGGGGGAAATGTGCTCTAAAACTGCTGCGAATTAACTTGGGGGAAGTGATGAAAATCCTTTTAGCTTATCCATGCGTGCATCATTTCAGATGGTAGGGGGCTGATTAGATGTGAAATTGCTTAGACCTCAGTTGTGGGAGAGGTGGTACCAGTGGGAGAACTCTTCTAAGACTTCAGCCCTATGCTGCACTTTGCTACCCGGCTTCAGTGTGCTTGCTACAGTTGTGTGGGTTTGTGCTGGTCATCAGCTATATTGATGAGACAGCCTAAAATCTGCTTTAAAAAGAACAGGTAGAATAGAAGGAGACTTGAGGATGTACGCTGTTATATTGAGCTAATGGTCACCTTGGATGCAAACACATTTTGCATAATTTACAAGCATTAGGACCTTGAATTTTAATGGTGATTGGGTAAATAGTGTAATACGGTTTATGATATCCACCTTCAGATGAAGAAAAAATGTGTAATTATCGGGGCATTAATTTGAAATGTGAAAAATATGAAGATATAATTGATCTGCTGTCTGAAAACTGAGGTAAATGATGTAGGCTTGGGGTTTTTTTGCAGCATAAGCATAATGTCAGCACAATACCGTATTTTCCAGGATGGATGTTCTAGTGAAAAATTATTAATGTGAAGAAATTCTAAGTAGTCACTGTAGATACCTATGAAAAGGCACTCTTTATTTTTTTTTATATATATATTTTTAAACCCATTCTGTTCTTTATAGATATGGAAAGCTGTAGAATGCAGTCATCAGTAAAGACTTTCTGAAGAAATCTTTTTGCTCTCCAAAGTTCACCTTTGACTTCATTATGAGTTTTTTCTACTTATTTTTTTTTTTTATTGGAGTCAAATTCTTGGTACTTTGTTTTTCTGAATTTTTCAGATGGAAGAAGTTAAACGTTTCCATTTAACCTAAAGAACAGATATGACACTGATTAAAAAATGCATCTTACAGGTTACCCTGTCCTCCCCACCTCCAGCTTTTTGAAATGGCTAGAATTAATCCTCCAAAATATTTGAATACTCAACTGTTCTTCACTGGTTTTAGCTTTCTTAGATATTTCAGTTCAGCAATCACGTGTATTGATATTGGCTACATGTGTTTTGAAATCTTAAAACTTTGAAACATAGTAAGTGAATGAAAGTAAGATGCATGCCCATTTATAGGGTGAATTTTTTTTCTTTTTCCAGAAGAGGTCAGCAGAACTCCATTTCTGATTTGAGACAGCTTTTGATGCACGTTACCTTCACAGAGATAAATTCAAGTTGAATATACCTCTTGTTTCCAGGACAGTGCGTGAAATTTAGAGAATATAGTAAGAGTTTTTTCATGTAAAGCTGTACTGAGCATGCATCTACTGGCTGAATTATATTTTTAAATTAAAAATTTAAATGGTCTTTAGTCTTTTTCAGAAATGTTTTAAGCCTTCAGAGCATCAATACTGCAGACATGCTAGATTTCTTCTGTTTCAAATGTAACTTTTGCAGGCTTGACCATAATATTCTGATCATTAGTGTCAAAATAGCAAATAATTTTTTCAGTTGCTATTTTGAAAAATTTTTGCAGTTTTGCATTTGTCTGCATCACAGCTGTGTTTCTGACTCTAGCCTGCCTAGGATATGCTAAAATTTTCATTGCACTAATAATGATAAAAGGGGATAGTTTTTATACCTTTTATAAAAACTTTAAATTTGACAATTTCAAAATACAGGTAGGAAAAAATAATGGCACCTATAGATGCAACATTTCTGTTGTCTCCTAACAGAAAGCTAACATACTACTTTAATATTAAACAAAAAAAGGCTTGTTGTGTGTATCAAGAGAGGATCTGTTATCTCAGTCGAAACCAAGTAAATTACTCAGATTTTGCATATTGATTGTGTGATAGGGACAAGATAATGATAATGGGGAAAAAGTCTGCAAGTTCACATTGGATACAAGTATATTTCTCTGTGCAAAAGCATCCTAGCTATAACTTTCATAGCTTTCATGTATTATATATGATTAGCTCTTTTGTTATGAATTTTTTTTTATTTACTACTTCTAGAAGTGACTTTCTGCTCCTATTAAATTTTTGTGTGCGTGAAAGCTGGTTCAAGCCCTTAGTTTAGCACTGATTGCTTGAAGACATTACTAGGACTCCAGAATAAGAGAATGATACTTGCAGTGGTATAATTCAGGCAGTACTTGAATTGCCCTAAATTTTGTACCCTGAAATCTCTTTTACAAAGTAGTGTTTCATTTTTCGAGTTTTTACAAACATCTCTTTTTTCAGTGTGGTAATGGTAAGACAGCAGAGTCCTAAATTTTGTACTGCAGTTTCTTGAAAATGAGATTGTTAATGTCAGAGTTTGTACTTCTTTATTTGCTGCTGGAGAATGCAGGCTATAGTGTTGGGTGGTTCTCACAGATCTATGAGGTTCTGGAATCACCATGTCTTATACTGTAAATCCCTGTAGGAGCTGCAGTTACTATTGGTCACGTGATAGAGGGACAGCAACCCCAGCTTTAACTAGGACTTAGATGTGATATGTGTCTGTGACTTCTGTATTTTGTGTGGTTTCCTAGTTCATACTCTGCAAGTTTTAGATAGGATCAAGAACAATTTGTCGAGAATAACTTCTGCCTTCTAACTCAGGTATAGCTAGTTTACTGTGACTGAATGCTAACATTTTAAAATGTTACCCATAAACTTTTCAGTATGCGCCATCCATGATGCTTGCATTACATGAGAGAACATGTGTCCGCTAAAAACTGGAACGTTAATTTGAGAATGAATTGGACTGTACAAGAAAATGTATGATTTTGGAAGGGAAACCGGCGAGAACTAGTTTAATTTGCCCTGTAAAGTGAGCTTTGACTTATTTTCACCTGGTTCCAGGCTCAGGTGCTCCAGTCTACAATGAAGAAACTGAGTTTGCAGAAGCGGTAGCTGGGTTCTGGGCAAAGGGTAAAACTTAAAGATGGAAGGGATTGGAGGAGTGCTTTCTAAGTCTTTATTTAAAAAGTAGTCAGGGTTTTCATCCTTGCTCCAAATTTAGCAAAAGGATGTATTCCGTTGTAGGTATGGCTACATGCAATGTTTTGCATGCCTAAATTAAAGAACCTTATAGTATTCTTTGATACAAGAGTCAGTTAAACTTTGTCTAATTGGCAAATATTACTAAGTAAAGAATTTCTGCTGTCATTTATCTACAGCATTCCACTATGACATCCTATTGCATTTCTTGCAGGGAGCATTCCTTTAATTTATATTGAATTACCTGATATCAAAAGCAGATTTTCTAACTCAGCCTTCCAGTCCCATTTCCAGATGAATTGTGAATGTACATTAAATGAGAGATCCTAAAACTAGGGCTAACTTATGGGAACCTCCTTCTTTTGGAAGAACTGTGGATTACTGTGCTTTGTTTATTGCTTCTCTAACCTTAAGCCATTGGATGGCCTTCTCCATACCTCATGATGGTTTAAAACTTTTTAGTGTGAGACTTAAACATTTTTTTTTAGAAACTCAGTATCTCAACATGGTGGTGGGTTGACCCTGGCGGGATGCCAGGTGCCCACTAAAGCCACTCTGTAACTCTCCCCTCCCCCTCAGCTGGAAAGGGGAGAGAAAATACAGCAGAAGGCTTATGGGTTGGGATAAGGACAGCAAGAGATTGCTGCCTTTCCTTGTTGGTTCCTCCACCACTTGCATCAGAAAGTTATCATTGATGCTCTGTAGGAACCTCCTGGATTGCACCTGCCTAGCTGTATGGTCTTCCCAGCTGATGTCAGGGTGGTTGAAGTCCCCCATGGGGTGCAGTCCTTCAGAAACAGACTGCTTCAGCGTGGGTTCCCTGCGGGCTCACAAGCCCTGCCAGCAAACCTGCTCCAGCGTGGGCTCCTCTCTCCCCATGGGTCCACAGGTCTTGCCAGAAGCCTGCTGCAGCATGGGCCTCCCACAGCGTCACAGCCTCCTTCGGGCACATCCACCTGCTCCGGCGTGGGGTTTCTTCCATGGGCTGCAGGTGGATATCTGCTGCACTGTGAACCTCCATGGGCTGCAGTGGGACAGCCTGCCTCACCATGGTCTTCATCACAGGCTGCAGGGGAATCTCTGCTCCGGCACCTGGAGCACCTCTTCCCTCTTCTTCACTGACCTTGGTGTCTGCAGAGTTGTTGCTCTCACATATTCTCACTCCTCTCTCCAGCTGCAGTTGCGCAGGTTTTTTTCCCCCCTTCTTCAATATGTTGACACAGAGGCACTACCACTGTCGCTGATGGGCTCGACCTTGGCCAGCGGTGGGTCCGTCTTGGAGCTGGCTGGCATTGGCTCTGTCATTCGTGGGGGAAGCTTCTCGTGGATTCTCACAGAAGCCGCCCTGTAGCCCCCCTGCTACCAAAACCTTGCTGCACAAACCCAATATTCCAGTTCTCATCTAGAAGCAGACTGATACCTTCAGATATTTCCAATATATCTGTTTTAATGATCTGGCTGTTAAATGGAATGACACTTCTCTCTGCATAATTTTTTAGAGGATCACTGCATAGATGTAAAAATAGAACTTAAAACAAATTTGTGAATTCCTTGAAACATCATGGCTGAATTTAATTTAGCATGATAGTCAGTTGTGGGAAATTGCTTTGGTTGATGCAGATTATGGACTTCAGTGTTCAAGTTCTGTATGCTACATGTTAGTTTAGCCTTTTTCACAAAGGTGACTTGCCACCCTTCTGTATTTCTGTGCTTTAAAGGTATTCTAGTAAATTTTTGAGTTCATATGCAGCCATTGCAGATGCTGTAGAATCTTTCAAAGATTTAATAAGCAGTTTGTGTGCAGAGGTGCAGAAGGTGGGAAAATTGGTGTTTGAAGCAAATAGGAAAATGTGCATGAAGTATTGTGATGTGTAGTAAAGGAGAAGCTGAGGGTAAATCAGTAGAAAAGGAAGCAAATGGCTCTCCTCTGTTTTTCTGGATACTCTAAGTTTTGGGGATGCCTTTTGAATGCTGATGTTAAAGAATGTATTTGTACCTGAATGAACAGATCTGTATTTTATACTTTCACTGTGTGTATTTGTAACTTTGTCTTGGCTAAAGGTAGGAGTCTAGTTTCAGGGACCTGCACCTTAAAACTGTTTTCTCTGTGAGAGTATCTTATGTTCTGGTCTGCTGTAAGCTAGAATGAGAAACTATGAGAAAGGAGTTCTCACCTCTTGTCTGGGACCTTACCGGTGGAGTACGTATGTTCTTCTTTATCAGTTGTTGAGAGGTCTCTGACATGTCAATTGATTTGTCATTCATGTAACAATAGTAGCAAGTGTATTCTCTACAGTGTTAAGGAACCCCATTGTGTATGCATTAAACAGTCTCTGTAAGCCTGTGAGTTCTTCCAAGTAGCCTTTGCCATTGCCTCATTCAGTTCTTGGTTTGAGTATCAAAAAGGAACGAGTCAGGGTCACCTAGGAAGTTATACATACAATGTGTCCAGATGTCCAGCCTTTCAGTACCTGAAGGGGACCTATAGGAAGGATGGGGAAAATCTTTTTAGCAAGGACTAGAAGAAATTTTTTACAATGAGGATGGTGAAACACTGGCACAGGTTGCCCAGAGAGATGGGAGATGCCCCATCCCTGGAAACTTTCAAGGCCAGGTTGGATGGAGCTCTGAGCAGCCTGGTCTGGTTGAAGATGTCCCTGCTCACTGCAGGGCGGTTGGGCTACATGACCCCTAAAGGTCCCTTCCAACCCAAGGCATTCTATGATTCTACATCAAAGCATTTGTGAGGGAATGTTTTGTTCTTATGCCATGCTATAATTAAAATATAAGCTGCATGAGTTTCTCTCATCTTCTATAGACGTCTTGTGGAATGACATGAACATATTTATAGAGGAATGTATGTTCTTCAGAGCTTTTGGAGTAGCTACTTAAAAATTTGAACTATTTTAAAAGAAAGTAGAGTACTTATAGGATGACTTTTTTCTTTTCTTCAGGGACTACTCAGTAGACAAATGGTAAAGGAAAATACTAAACCTTGCCAAGAATGGCTTGAGTAGTTATGTACATTCTACCTATGTATAGAATTAATAGAACTTGAAAAGAGTAAAACAGTTTGCCTTTAATGAATGTCCAGTTGAACATGAACAACAACAGTTTTTGAGGAAAAAAAATCTGCAGATTTTATTTTAATGATGATTTATGTAATTGTCAGGTAATAGCTAAAAGAAAAGAAGATTCTGGAAAAATAAAACTCTTGCTTCATTGGACACCAGAGGACATGTGAGTATATTGTTAGTGATATGTTATAGAATTTAAATGGGGAAGGAGTTACAGTGGGATAAATAAAATGTCACTAAATTACATTATGCCTTTGAATATTTAAATTGAAATTCACGTTTTAAAAAATGCTTTTTAAGTAGTAATTTAGAAGTTTAAAAAATAATAAGCAATGCTTTAATTGATTTTTACTTTAGCTTTCAGGTCTTTAGACTCTGATACCAGTTCAGGTAAATTTGAAGCTGGTTTTGATGCATTTCGCCACTGTGGGTATTAGTAACAAGGCCCTCTATTGTATGGGGAGTTCAGGTTGATTTTGCCAGCCATATACATAAGGAAGTTTATCCCTGGGACAACTTTGTTTTACCCACTGATTCATCATGATCCTAAAATACAGTTAGGTACTGAAAAATGTACCATCATCATTGTATCAGTAGAACTACAAGAATCTTTGCCTAGGTGCCACAATTTAACAGTATAATAACCACACATGGCCCCCTTAGATTCTCGCAGTGAAGCCTGGAATAGTGTTCCAGCATGCCTGGTTGCTTTTTTCTCTTGGTTTTTCAAAGTTCCGCATTGTTCCAAATGAGTAACCTCGTGTGTAATGCAGGACGAAGGTGCTGCCCTCGGGTAGCGTTGGGGCATATGAAGTAGTAAGTGTACTTAAGAAGTAATTTATCTACTTTGGAGTAGCTGAGATCTCAGATCTTTCTTCTGACACAGTAAAGAATTTATATGTATATATTTTGATCTTAATTATGGAAAAGTAGATTAAATGTTTGGTTTCCATTATGCTGTAGGAAAGCAGTAGGCAGAGTAATTTTAGGGGAGGCAGTAGCTGTATATTCCGTGTTTTCCACAAGTTTCAAGGTGATTAACTCCATTTCCTTTTAAAGGTAAGAATAATTATAATAGAATTTATTTCTTGGATCCATACTCCTGCATACCGATTCCTGCATCCATAGTCCTGCATACAGATCAATTTGCTGGTATATTTAATTCACATTAAGATGGAAGTTACTGAGACACTTAGTTCACACTGAGATGAGTAGCTGCATAATTAGGTAGGACATGATGTTTTAGAGGCCCTTTCCTAAAAGGAACTTCAATTTTACCAGGAAGATATCTCTAAATTGGTAGAATTCATTAGGTAAGCATATCTTAGTTTCATAAGTAGTATCTAAGTAGTCATAGTTCATGCAATTAACTCTTAGAACAAGGAGATCTTTTGGATTCAGTGCTGCGTTTAAGTAATTGAGTGCGATGGTGATGCAAAGCCCTAGCATAACAGACATTTACCTTTACTTTGAAGTGGTTTAAATTACTCAGTTTTGTAGTGTCCCAAATTAGTCATGCGTTGTGGTAGTGTGAACTTGGCAGTGTGAATCTATTATAATTTATTTGCAGGGGGCTAGGATTGCTGACAAGTTATCTGTGGCAATGTTTGGCATTTTGGTGCAATTTTAAAGTGTCTGTAGCTTTTGCTGATCATTGCAGCACCTGTAGACTGCAAGTTTCAATTTAACTTGGGAGAGAACAACTAAAATATTCTAGTAAAAAGTGTAGTTTAGCTTCCTTTTGGGACAGCAGGTGATACTATATGTAACAGCATTCTGAAATTATTCTTGCTAAAATACTACAGATAAAGACAATTAATTGCATTTTAGGATGTAAAGCATTAAAAAAGCATCTAACACTGGGAACATGAAAAGCAAATAAAAAAAATCAGAGTACTTTTTTTCTAATAGACGAATGACTTTTTGCTCATGCAGATAAATACAATATTAAAATCTCTGCATTGGAGAAGATGGGTTACTCAGTAGTGTTAAGACATCCTGAACGAAATGTAGATTTGGTTGGTCAGGTCAAAGGAATGAAGTGTTTTATACTGATATTTCTTGTATCTTTGTTGGGTTAGGTAGACGGTATATTTCCTGCACTGAATGATGTAGTTGTGAATTATGGAGTATTCAGTAGTTTCAATTGAATCTTGGTTGTTACAGTGAAGAACAGCGAATGCAAAGTGTCATGGCTCATGTCATCCGTCTGTCTTACACAGTGAATGTAATCACATGTTGAAAATCACTTCCCGTTGTGCTAAGCTGTTCATCAGCCTTTCAGATGGAGTTAGTAATAATGTTTTAACTTTTTCTACTCATGAGTCATCTTGAGAAACTGTTAAACGGCTCCAGGTTATCTGTACATTAAGTATTTCTTTTCAGGAAAAGTAAATACTAGTCTTTAGCCTACTTCCTATACAAGAGGGAAATAACTTTTAAAATTTTATTTTAGAGCAGGAATCTATTCTTTGCGCCAGTATTTCTTAGCTTACCAAGTTGTTGTCTTTATATTTCAAATAGTGTTTGTGTGTGAAAAGTTTTCTTTTTTGTGGTTAGTATTCTTTTGCATCTTCAGCATATAGCTTCTACTAAAAATGTCTTCCAAATGTTTTTTGTTACAAAAAAAAAATTAGGCTTTTTTTTTTCTTTTTTTTCCGCCTTCGTCTGGAAAGAGGAAAGTATCATTGGAGAAACTCCTTTGCCTACTGGGGAAGAAGTGCTCTGTTTAATTTCTTTTTTTTTTGGATGGCCCCCCCAAAAAATTGAATTTGAGTTATAGCTAACTTTCAAAGCTGAAAAATAGAGATTCTTTTTAATAATTTGCAAATGTCTGTAAAATTGTCTGTACCTTTTGTTGGAGAAAGAACTATTTCATTTAGATAGTCTTACATGTTGGGTTTCTCAATTTGAGACTTATTTCAAAACGTTAAAATTCTTAGTTACAAACTTAAAGTTTTTTCCCCAACCTGAAATTAATTTTCGGCTTCTAGGTTATGTTTTTGTTTTTTTTAAAAAGGACTTTGTGGGCTGAAAATAATCTCAGGAGGTTGGTTTTTTTTGGTGGGGTTGTTTTATTACTTTTTTTTTTTTACAGTAGTGGAAGCAAAATGGGTCACTTGTTTTTTGCGCACAGCCTTTGTCAATGCTAAATGTGGGGTTGTTTTATTACTTTTTTTTTTTTTACAGTAGTGGAAGCAAAATGGATCACTTGTTTTTTGCGCACAGCCTTAGTCAATGCTAACTTTTGGAAGGAGGCAGAAAAGCAGGTTTTCAGTAAGATACTGACGACCTCTGCAGCCCAGTACCTCTCTTAACAATGTGTTACCTGAAAACCTCATCAGGGCCTTGAAAACCCAATGTGCTTTCAGTAAAAGAAGCAATAATGCAATAAGCCACTGTAAAGTAGGCATACTTGGTTTCAAAAAATTGAAGTACAAAACGTAGATCGATCATGTATGTTATCTCTTCCCCAAATTTCACTGCAAATGACACCGAAGCAGCAGTTCCCTTTTACGTGTTAAGACCAAGTTTTATTCCATCTCGCAATGAGAACTGTTACATAGCCAGAGTATTTTGTGGTGATTGCCTGGATTTCCTCAGAAGATAATCAAACGATTAACTTGAGCAAAGTTTGGAGCATTTTGACATCGAAAGCTTTGAACTTGGAGCAAGCAAATTAGTGTAATTCAAAGCTCAGTGCCTGCTGTATATTCTGACCTTTACTTACTTTTTTTTGACAGCATCAAAGAATTTTATGCCCAGTAAAATTAAGTGTTTTCAAAGATCTGGGTTTTTTCCTGCTACCCATTTTCACATTAGATTGTTAAAATGGCGAATGTAGTGCATTATCATTGTATGTTTAGTTTATTATTCTTCTGGAATAATCTAAATTCTGTTTAGTATTTTTTTCACACTGAGAACTTGAATAACTTTGAAATGTGATGTGTAAAGATTAGCTGTCTTTTCCTCACTCCAGTGAAGATGCCTTTTAACAAGTGAAATGTGAAGATTACTTTAAAAAACTTCATATGTACTAGTTTACCACGTAATTTTATGGTAAGAAAAAGATTGATCTTTTTTGAATATTTTTATTTTATTTATTTATTCATAGTCTGCCTGATGTGTGGGTAAATGAAAGTGAGCGACATCAGTTAAAAACTAAAGTAGTTCATTTATCAAAACTACCAAAAGATACTGCCTTGCTTCTGGACCCAAACATATACAGGTAATGTCCTAATTTTGAAATTTTCCTTACTTAGAGATAGTCTTAAGCCTCACTTAACTTTTTGACGTTGGAAAATCAGGATTGCTAATGCATTATACATCAGACTAGGGAGCCTCCATCCTGTCAGCGTCCAAGAGTTAAGTTCTGAGGTCTTAACTTGTTTCAGAATTACTTAACTTCTTGAACTGAACTCTAGTTACAGAGAAACGGGGAATGTGTGTATTTACCAAGTGTATTTTACTTTTTTGTGCTTGGTGTACAGAAATTCTAGTAAAGGAGGTACATACAGTGGAATCCTGAAAGATCACTTCTGTTAAGATCACATACTGGTTTGTATACCAATTTTTTTAAAGTCCAAATTTATCTTTACATATTTTATATTCAATTGTAATACATGCAGTATTACCTTGAAATCTGTACTTGTATACAAGTACTGTTATTTTTTAATACAAGATTCTTTAGAGGGGGATGGAAGGGGACAGCACATGTTAGTTGTCTTTAAGGTGCATTCACATTTGTGTTTTTAGGACTTCAGATTGGCTTCTGATCCATTTTGTTTCTAATAATTTCCTGTTTTCCCCCCCCAACCCCCCTTATTAGTGTGCTCACATAATTGTCAGTACCCACGGTTCTGTGTGTGTACAGTTTTTAAAGGTAATCTGAAATGCTTGATTCACTTTTTAAAGTTTTTGAACGTCCAAAAATACGTATTTAAAATTATATTAAAAATTTATGAAAGTGGGTTGGGGAAAAAAAGGGTCTTTCTACCATAACAGAAGTTCAGTGTTCCTGTGTTTCTTCCTTAACACCCAGTGACCTAGTGTCTAAAGGAGTAACTAGGACACTAATCTGAGGTCTTGATATGCGATAAGCCTTTCAGTTCACCTTTACTATTGGGTGTATTTTACTAATCAAATTAATAAAAACTTGAATTACAATATGAAAATAAATAATCATACTATATTTGTTATTTTTGTAAATTTAAGTATTTAAAATACTTTAGTATTTGAATTACTGATGTTAACAGTAAATCATAAAAATATTACAAGGAAATTGGATTGTGTGTTTTAAAAACTGTTTAACACAATGACTCTTTTATAATCTAATTTAGGTGTTAATCATCTTTATATTGATTACCTTGCAAAGCTTGATAGGTTAGTTTGATTTGAAAAGGAAAAAATTAACCTTTTAAAATAAAAATGTAATGATCTTTGGGGATTAAGTCCTTAGAGAAAAATTACAACCCTTTTTCTCTCTCCCAAATAAAATGAAGATCCCCTCACATAATGTTGTATTAGATTTTTGGCAGTATATATCAGTGTGTGATTAAAAAGTCTTGAGACCAGCTGTGAGAGATCAAAAAATAAAGATGAAGACCAAAGTGTTGCAAGGGAAAAAAGGGGTTAAGGGAATTCAGTGACAGCTATTAATATCACCCTAGGATGATGACTCCAATAGAAAGTTTGAAATAATTATCTGATATTTATGCTACTATGGTATCATCTAAAATGACTTTCAGTCTTAATCAAGTAGATTTTACATAGTCATGGTTTGATAGTATGCTCTGGCTCGTTCAAAGTTACATCTCATGGTCTTTACATAAAGCTGTACTGTCTTCTTTTACAGAACAATGCCCCAGAAGAGGTTGAAGAGGTAAAAACCAAGCAAGTGGGGACACCTGCAGTCTTAGTCACTGACAATGGATTTAGAAATAAAGTTGCACATTAGTCAAATCCCATCCTTTTTTTTTTTTTTTCTAGATAAGTATTTATGCTTAGTGTAAACATTCTGTGAATGAAGTTGATGCTTCTGTGGAATATATTAATATATTACTGTATATCCACATTTTCATGGAATGGTACAGTGGGAGACTGAGCAAACACTCTTCTGGCAACTTAGTGGAACAACTAAAAGGCTTTGCATGCTTGCTTCTTTAAGCTGCTTTTTTCTTAGTGAATACAGTGGTTTATATTTGATGAAAAGAAAAAGTGACCATCACCATTTACTCACAATTCCCAGGAGAACTGTTAACAAGCTGTTAGGCTTCTTGTCAGTGTTAACTTAAATAAAACACGTGCCAGAAAATATAACAGCTACCAAGGATTATCCTGTTGCCTTCTGAGTATGGTGGATAGTAATCATTCGTCATTTGTAATCTTGTGTTCTTTTGCAGATCCCTAAAAGATGTTGGATTATAATGTTTAAACAAATGTTGATGGAATGTTTTTCTTTTCCAGTCAACTATGAATACATATAGTACTGTTTAAAGGTGTTGAGAGTGTTGCAGTATGTCTGACCCCCTTTTCAGGAGTAGTATAGTATGTTAATGAGATCTGCTTTTGTGTGACCTGTATCAATGGATGGTTTTTGAAAAACCTCTACTTAAGCAGTTAGTGTTCTTGGTGTTCTGTTTTACTTTTTTGACCCCTTAGGATCCCCGTTCACTTATAAAGTATACTGTTTTTTATTTGGCCTAATGTTTTCTAGATGTAAAGAAAATGGTATTTTTAAAAAAAAAATAATCTAGAAATTCAATCCTTTATGCACCAAAGTTGGCTTTGAAAAGGAAAGTAAAATCATTTTCTTGCTTAATAAGCAAGAAGCCATGGATTTTTTTAACTGACAAATAGAGATGTGTCTAACCTGTTAGTCTTTGTATGGAGACAAAAATGTTGCATATAGATATTAGGACATTGCTTGTAAATATTTCAGCAGATTTGTAATATATTTTTATATTATGAAATGTACTGTAGATGTTTTTCTAGAGGCATGAAAGTTAAAATGTATATATTACGGTAGAAATAATATTGAAGGATATTGTAATTCACTAGTGCTGCCAGAAGAATTGTTTAAAAAAAAGCACCTTCCTTAACAATAAAAAAACCTTCTTATACATACCTAAGGGACTATATACTACTGTTAATATCTGTTGTAAGAACAAAAATACATTGAACATCCTTCCCAGAAATCTTAGAGGGATGAATAGTACCCATAATTAATTCATGGCACTCCTTTCTAATAGTGAACATGAAATTAGTTTTTTCCTTACTATTGGAAGGAACTAATGTGTAAAATTTGTATGGATATATGCAGTCAAACTGCAGAGTTAGTCCTCCTTATTAGGGAGGAATTTACTACAGTGAAACTAATAACCAGCAGTTTTTACACTAAATTTTTATTAAATAGAATAAAACTTAGTAACCCTTTGGTTGCAGAAGTGAGCATAGCCTAATATAGTACAAATGCATTCTGCATTGGTACTGACACGAGAGTCTTGCTAAGCTCCAGTGGGTTAAAAATGTTACTTATATACACACACAAAAGAAGAATCTTATCAAACGAAATGAAGTGCAGATTAAAAGCACCACTAATATAAGATGTTCTGGAATGGTTGTTTAATAAGGGTATTATTCATAAAATCTGTAGTGATGTGACTTTATTTTTGAAAAAAATGCAGTGTTTTGATTTATTTTTTTGCTTGAGCACTTCACCTACTGCTTTTTCTGTACCTATAAAGTAATCTGTAATCTTTGTTTCTTTTTTTGAATTTGTTATAAAATTGCCAAATAGAAGTGTTTCAGATATAGTTTGTATTTGTATTTTTTTAATTTTATTGCTTCATGAGTTTCTTGTAAGTCATTTATAATTGACAGATGATTGTAGACCTTGCCTGAGTATTTTTTCTAATAAAACAAAGCAAACAAACCTCACTAGCTTCAAAATTGTAAGATTTCAATGACGTTTTCAAAGATTATATGTTACAATCTCTTTATCTCCTCTGTAAGTGGTAACACGCATACCTTTACAAAATGGGGAATTAATGGATTCAAGTCATGTGTTGTTCATGTGTGACTTTCTCTTCTTGGGTTTGGGAAGAGTATTGTCTGATCTTCTCATGGTACAGCTTCTGCCTTGGTAGAAAAATACTAGTTTAAATTCAAAACATCTGTGAACAAATGGATACATTAGAATTAATTAAACTTTCCATAGTAGTCAAAAGGTAAGTGGACTTTTGGCTGTTTTTTACCTTGGTGTTATCAAAATGTATTGCTAGAACTACTTATGCTTGGAAGTTGTTTGTATTCTACAAATTATGTAATTATTTGGTGGTGTTTGATGTTTCAGGTGACAGTGCTGTGTCTCTAAAGCTCTGCTTCAGTTTTTGTGTGTCCCTCCAGATGAATTTCAGTTTTGTTAGAGTACCAGAGACGTGGAACTGGCACAGCATGCTGGGAGGCATTGATCACTTTGTTCTGAAAAAAAAAATAAATCTTACTGCTCTTAGTTATGCTTGAAAAGTGTTAATGAAATAGTTGACCTCTCCCCTTCTGAGTAGTTTCATGTGCTTTCGTTTGGGATGTAACATACAGGAGTTTACTTCTGTCTTTCTCAAGAACATTTTTTTAGAATAGCTTTTCCAAATATCTACAAATGCATTCTCTCCTCACCGGAGTGTTTATTTTCTTTGTAGATAAGTGTCACCAAGACAAACCTGTAGTTGCTTTACCCTTTGCTGCAGTCTGGAGTTTTCCATGAAGAGAGGCTGAGGGAGCTGGAGAAGTTCAGTCTGGAAAGAAGAAGGATTTGGAGGAATCTAGCAGCAGCCTTCTAGTACCTAAGAAGTTAACAAGAAGGTGGAGCCAAGCTCCCTTAAAACTGCATGGTAGGAGGGTGAGAGTCAGTGGTCATACACTGAAATGGGGGATTTTTTTTTTTTTTTTTACCATAATGATAGTCAAGCATTGGAACAGATTGCTCCCAGAGATCCCAGAATCTCTGTCCTTGATGGTTTAAAAGATCCAGACAAAGCCCTGAGCAACCTGGTCTGGATTCAGTGTTGTTAGCGTTGCACTGAGCAGGACATTGGACCAGATGCTCCTCTAGAGGTCCCTCCCAACAAGAATTATTCTGTTTCTTTGATGTGGAGCTAAGTGGGCTTTCTCTTCCAGCCCACGTGCTCAGAAAGACATCAGCTGTGTGTAGATCAGGTTAGCAAGCTGTGCATATGTTCATAGCATGGCTAGGGTTGGAGCTGTTTGAACTGAAAACCAGTCGGCTGTGGTGGTAGCCTGGGTCTGGGGCTTTAGTCTGCATTTGTTTTGGCCTGCTGTGTGATTGAACTACACTGGGCACTGTCGTCTTGAGGTAGATGCTGATGCTTGAGGATGTGGATCAGAAAAGGGCACAGGATGGAATGCTTACTCCTTCGCTGTCAGTTGACACCCATAAGGGTTTTCAGAAATCTCAAATGCATTTGTGGGTGTCTTGGGTTATCTCACTTCTCGAATGCCTTTAAAGAGAAAGTGCTGAATCAAGCTCTTTGAAAGTCGCACTTTTCGGGAGTTGCAGTGCACCCAGACAGCTGTGCCTAAAATAGCCAGTCCTTTTGGAATGTGTTGGCTGGAATTTTACAGTTCTCTGAAGCTGAGTAACATGATTTTTGAGTGAGGAGTGCTACTTTGGGAGTGAAGAACATGTCTGCCTTTTGCTGAAGTGGATGGAAATTCTTGTCTGGGAAGACTTCCTAGCATTTGGGCATAGCGTACAGCTGATTGTTTGATACTAATCTCATTCTATCTGCTAAAGCACTGCAGTAGATGGAGCAGACACACTTAAGTTCTTTTCTAATACTTAATTGCATATAAGTTTCTCTGAAGTTACTGTGATTTTTCAGATTTTGGGCAAATTGCATAGTATGCAACATTGTAGATTTTTCTAGACGTATATTCTATGAAGTAATTATATCAGTAGGTTTCCATTTGAAATTATATACTAAATCTGGACTAGCTTTATTTGGGAACAGGCAGGTTAATTATGTTTAAATCTGCATTGTTTTTAATACTAGGAATTTAAGTGGTTGGTTTCTGTTCCTTTCAGCTTTTGAGTGTAGTGTGTGAACTGATTATCGTGGAAAACCAGTCTTATGCAATACTTCAGTCTGAAACCGATGGTATAGCCTCAGTTAATGCTTTCTTGCCTTGACATTTTAAACTTGCGTATGAACCTGTTGTAAGTATTTATCTTGTCACATTAATGTATGACACGTACAACAGAAAAAAAACATCAAGAAAGTTGGCTTTTAAAAAAGCAGCTGAATCTATAGTTTCTTTCAGTCATTTTCTCGGAGTTAAGTAGACATTCTGTGAATGGCTCCTATATGCACATGGCTCTGAGAGTAAAATAAACAGTTTGATCCCTAAACCAAGGCATTCTAAACAAAACATTCCAGCAGCAGAAGATGGTCTTAACATCACATGGATTTTCTTGGTCAAGTGAAGATGCCCTTAGATCCGTTAGTTATCCTGGTGTTGTACTTATTCCAAGCAAAGAATACTCTTTGGTGAGCTATGTTGCTTCAACTTTTAATAAGAATTTCTGAATTAAGTGTTTTTGGGGAAGAGAAGTCCCACCTGAACTACTGTTTTGAGCAATACAGTGGAAAAATATTTTAAAATCAAGAATATCCGTATGTTCATGCCTTTTTCAGTGATCCTTTTTTTCTTAAATTCTGTGTGCTTGCAGTTATGTAAACCAAATTGAGAGTGAAAAGGTGAATACTCATTAATACAGCTGTAGTCTCCAAGTGCTTATAATGAGAAGAATCAAGTGTAAATACAGAGGTGAATCTCTCAAAGTATATATATGAGAAGTATTATTACAGTCCTGAAGGTCTTTACTATTGTGATCTCTATTTTTAGTATTTTTTCTAACGTAGGATGAACTAAAATCTGACCAACAATAAAACCTCATACTCCTGGAAGATTAGGAGGTTTTTTCAATCATCTGCTCTCTTATGTTTCCCTGAATATAGCCGGCAAACTAGAAAAAACAAATAGATTTAGATATGCTGTCAAATTTCAGGTTATATCCTGGAGGGTAGGAAAAAACAGAGCTTAATGGTTTGTGTTTAAAGCAGAACATTGGTTCCAGGAGACAGGAGCTGTGAATTTACGCTTTCCGGGTAAGAAACTGTGGTGATGAGTGTAGACCAGTATTACAGTAGCTGTTCTTACAGTGAAAAATTCTCCCCAAACTGTGTGTCCACGTGTCTTGTCTTACTTTTTTATACCACAGTATACAGTACTCTGTACAGTAATCTATGGATTATGTATGTTTGGGGTTTGATTTAGCTTTATCAAAATCTTCTGTAATCACACCTTTGTATTTTTCTTCATTTTAATGAAATGTATAGTTGGAGTGCTGTTGTTTTCCTCTTAATGCTTTGTCATCCTTAAAATTGCATATATCTTTTCTGTCCAATACTTTTCCATGCTAATCCATTTACACTGCATTATAGCACACAGTCGTGCAGTACAGGGGTGGACCAAAGTAAAGTTCCACACGTACCTGTAATTCTTGCATGCCTGAATTTTTGAAAACTTGTCTTGTAACCTCATCTTAGAGTACTTCTATCTGTGATTTCTTAAATGATTTAAAATTATGTACCAATTCCAGTATATAGCATTTAGCATCGTTTTCAGGGGTGATAGCAGAATAGGGAGCTCTCTGTTGATATCTGCAAGGCTCATTGTGCTGAGCTGTCCTGTTGGAGCTGATAGAGTAACTTGGACCAGTAGTGGATGCAGCCTTTCATGGAGACTTGAAACAAGAAGGGGAGAAGGAGATGCTACTTCTGAATTTGGTAGCCGTTGAAGACTGAGAGTTAGTAATACTGTGCTCAGCTCTAGGCTAGAAGGAACTTTGATCCTAGATATCTCTTCTAAGGTTCTATGCTTAGTTTTTTTTCTTTTCTATTTTCCAGTATTTTAAGGCAAAAAGAAAACCCATGTTTTGGTCTAGCCTGTTGTTCTGGTCCAGTACTATTTTGCTGTCAGCTGTGCATCCAGTTTCTCATGCTTATTTCCCCTTCTCTCTCTCATACATTCTTGCACTTCTATCCAGTTCTTTTCTAGGGGAGAGTTAAAATCAAGATGTCCTTGATGTCACAATGTAACTTACAGCAGAAGAAAGTAAGTTCTAAGTGCAAAGAGAATAAAATTGTGTTAATCGCATACTAAAAGCGGGCTGTTGGTTGACAGCCAGTTACAGGTAAATTCAACTCTTGCCGTTGTTTGTGAAGATTAATATGTTGTGATTTATGCTACATTATTTGGTTTTACTAATTCTAAAAATGGCCCTTTTCACTTGTGTAAATCCTCCTTGGTAGTAGAGTAGTGAATAGTAAGCAATATGATAAATGTGTTTACTTTGTCCCAGAGGAGAGATGATTGCTGATCAGGATACCCGTGGGTTGGCTTGCTCATGGATGATTTGAATACTGTCTGCTGGATGCCGTTCAAAAGTTTGGTCAAACTTTAATGTCCTTTTGTCTTAGTATTTTGCCTGTGTTTGTAGTCTCAGTGGAGTATAGAAGATCCCGTCATCTATTTACTGTGAAGAACTACCTCTGATTTGAGATGGTCAGTAGCCCTTCTGACTAACAAAGGGAAGCAAGTGATGGTTTGTTTGGTGTTTTTTGGTTTGTGTTTGGTAGGGGTTTTTTTTGTGGGCTTTTTTTAATACTTGAAATTATATAGTTGCATTGTATTTGAGGAGAATTTTTACTGTGTTAGGGAGATAGGTGGATCTAAATAGGAATGTTCCTCCTTCTGTAATACTTGCTTGTGAGAATTGCTGCTTTCACCAATACCCAGCAAAAGGCGTGAGAGGTGTTTCACCGTAAGTTCCAAAGGGCTGACGAAATACTGGAATACTGGTAATGCACAACATCTTTAAGTCAAAAGCTATTTCTGTAATAGTACTAAGTTTAATGCCACTGACCAAACTTGGAGATCTCCTTCGTCTGAATGTCATTGCTCAGTCAGGTTTTTTGCCTTCTTCCACCCATGCTATGTCTAAGCTTGCGTAGCTCAGTGAGATTTGTACAGGCATATGGAGTCTGACCAATGCCTTGTTGACTTTAGAAGGACTTAATTACGGGTATTTGACTTGTCTACCTCTGTTCAAACCCATTGTCTGAAACGCAGATTGTGAAATCAGGGGGAATGGAACATGATGTTGCTTATGATTCATTTAAGCCAAAATGTTCAACAAGAGCCACTTAAATGTGTCTAGGCACTGTAATATATGTTTGGATTTACATAATTTCAAGGCCAAAAAATTAGTAAATATATTGTTTTGGGAGGACAGCATTTGAATGTGAGATTAAAGACTGCCTATAAGTAATAAATGCATTTCAAACAGTTTTAACATTAAACACTTCGCAGCTTTTTCTTTCTAGTGAATATGAGGCAGGGGCTTGGACCCTTCTTGCTTTTTCTTTCTTCATGTCATAAATATGCTTTCCTAGAGCGTGGAAAATATGTCAATTACACTTAAAACAGTGTTTATTGCACAGCAGATGCGTGCATACAGCAACTGTAGCTGAAAGCCAAAGTATTTAATTAGCAGTTGCCTGCAGCTGGATTCTTTCTTTTTAAACAAGTGAGGAGGTGGGGAAACATAAAAGGATGTCAAGAGATGTTCTGCTGACTGTGAGCGAGTTCATGTGTAATTACTTATTAAAAATTTTGCTCTGCCTCCATACTTGGAGCCATCATGTGGTATTGCCGCCTTTTCATTGTGCTGTGCAGTCATCTGTGACTTTGATGTCCTCGCTGACCAGATACACATGCTGCCTCATCAAAGAGACATTTGATTGGATTGTATAGCCGCCAGAAAGGAGGATAATAAATATGAAGATTTTTTGTGAATAGTCTTGTGTTCATCTGTTAGTTTCATTGTAGCTGTCTACTCTACAGTTGTTGAGTGTTTGCTGTTGATTTGAAGGCTGAGGATTTATGTTACAGTCAGATCTCAAAGTCTGGAAGTACCTTCCTCATGAGTAAAACTGTCTGGATTTGCTTGCTCACTTGTTATATACATGGTCTATCAAGTTGTAACATAGCCTGCGTAGGTCAAATCTATGGTGGCAGTAATTTTTTTGCATGTTTTCTTATGACTAGTCACTAATAGCTTTTAAAATGAACGGATGAGGGTAAAAGTTGAATGTATGCTGTAAAAATTTCAGAGCTGGTTTTGGGTGAAAGGTGGCCTCTGTCTTAAAATAAACTGCATTTATTGTTGTTTAGAAGTGAATTATTGTGGAGAAAAAGTGTAAAACAAAAGCTTTACTTTGGCTAATGCCTCGTCTGGGTAATTACTAAAAGCTGTACAAACTGCAGATTATAGTTTCTGATGTATTTTTTATCTTGGAGTCCTCTTCCTTTTTTTTCTTGGCTAATATCTTCATTAGTTTTAATCTAGTAGGGTATTTCATAATTCAGTAACCATTACATGCATTGCAATGGGAGCTGATTTCAGAGACAGAAGAAGATAGGAAGATATTTTGAGCTGGAAGATGGTAAGTAGATGTCAAGACATGCACCCACCCGCTGTGCGGTTTATGGAAAGTATAAATGATGTTCCTGTCCCACCCCACTGTTCTTCGAGATGCTAGGATCCCACACGTCACGGTATGCGTTTCCATTCTATGCCTGGCTTAGGTGTAAATGTAATTTCATAGCGATCTGTAACCAAAGGGTGGCAGCAATCTACCGCACTATGGCTGTGCAAAAATGTCAGATATCACTTGGTAGTCATAGTGCTTAAGCACTTGCTTTTGTAAATCAGTCTCCTTATGTGCAATGTTGCCTTTGTTGATATAGGATAGAATTATGTATTACGGTTTTAACAGCGCTCCTAACTGTCTTACTGGTTGGTCTGTATGTCTCCGATATTACAGAGGAGAATAGGAACTGCTTTCTCAATAAAATTGACTAATAAAAGTTAAAGTACTTTAAAGAAATATTTTATTAATCAAGTACTGACAAGATTGAACGTTGACAAATTCTGTAAAATGCGGCTGGGTAATTATGATGATTGGTTACTTTCTTCTCTAATTACCTTTTCTTCGCCAGTGATGCCCCAGATTGCATGTCTGCCCACTGGATTGTGTTCCTAAAGAGGCATGACAGGAATTATGCTTGTGGGGTTCTGTACTTATTGTCCAAGTAAGTCGCACAGCAAACTTACTTGTTTAGGTAATCAGATCATTTTTTTTCTTTTTTCCTCTCCCCCCTAAGTAAAAAATTCTGACAATTTCAGCCAGAAAAAAATGAACACAGCTTTCATTTCCTGCCAACTGCAAAATCTTTCAAATTAGAATTCTCCTTTGGAGATTAGATAAAATGCTGCTAGAATCAGGATCACAGTTTCTTTTGTATCTGAGTAGTCCTTTCGGAGAGAAAATGATATTTTTGTCTATAAATTGAGTAGCCACGTACAAGGCAGGATTAAAGCAAACTTCCTAAACTCAGAGCTGCAGTTGCCCTCAGAAATGTCCAGTAGCAGCATTGAAATGATGGCAGCAAGATGTACCAAACCTTCTTTTGTGCTGGTGGTTTTAGAACTTCTCTGAAGAAAACCACGTTTCCAAAAAGTAGTGTTAGTGGGTTTGCTTTCTGCTGTATTTCTTCAATGGTGCAAGGTCTTTTAATGGCTTTTGATGCACCAAAACTTTGTTATCCATCTACTGTTTTGCAATAATCACCTACATCACCTTTATCCTCTAGTAAATGAATGATGATGCAGCACAGTTCTGTTCACAGTAAGGAAGGGAATTCCTTTGCATCTATTCAAGAGTGATGCAAGATAATGCAGTAAACAGAGAGCTGTTGACAGTGTCTTTTTTGCTCATGCTTAAAAACTGAAATTTTAAGCTGGCATCTCAGAAACTGTCTTGCATGGCTAAATGTGGAAGAACTCAGCAGTGGATGGGCTGGGCTGTGCTGTACACCTAGCCCAGGAATTGTAGAACCGAAGCCTTACATCAGATCAGATCTTTTGGTTGCAGCTATCTCCTTCATTCAGCAGTTGTCTGGAAAGTGAGCAGCTTCTCATCACCCTCTCTAGCTTTCCAGGGGGTCCCATAATGTCAAGTTTCTGGTGTGCTGTACGCATGATGATAGTCTTAGGCCCTTTGCAGTCTCAGGTAGAGATCAGTACATTGTGTACTCTTGGGTCGTACTTTCCAGTCACAACGATGAAGGCCAAAAATACGCAAGTAGATTAATGGCAGGTAAGTCTGACACGGAGGCGATCCCTTGACCTGGCCTGAAATCTCACTATTGCTATGGCAAGGAGTGGCAAGGAGAAGGTGGCAAGATGGCAGTTTCTTACACAGCCTCTTTTCTCTGTTGCTGCAGATCCAGTTCTTTGACGGTGAGTAAACATGAGTTTACGTTATTTTGGCAAGCATCTCGGCTATGTAAGGGTATAAGCCAAATTCAGTGCTGCTGTTCAACTCAGTAGTCATCAAAAATTGGTGCAAAGTACTGCCAAAGCAGAAGTATAGAATTTCTGTACTATGTCTGCCATGATGTGAAAGACAACGAATGATTAACTGAATGAAACAAGAAATAATGGAATAGTGGTAAATGAGTCACAGTTGAAAATTGGATTTGGATGCTTTGGGAGGTTTTTTCCAGTGATTTAGAGCTAATTTTTCTTTTCTTGGCCACGTCTGTTTGTGCAAAGTTAGTTGTTTTCTAATGATTCAAGTGGTTTTGAGTTCTTTCTTGTGCTAGCAAGATGTTCATCAGAAGTTACAGAAGAAATCAGATTGTCTTTTGGTTGGAATCCATGATGCAAGTTGATTTTTTCCTCTTTCTACAAACTGTCTAGTCAGCATCCTTGCCAAAGTGTAAGATGCGTTCCCTCTCTTATGTGGTTCCCCTCCCTGCCCCCAACAGTACTGGCATCACCAAATAATCTTTAGGTTTTAAAACGCTAATTTTGTGACTCATGTAGCTATTTATTGTTTATCTCTGAAGTAGCTTCTGAATGCACGTACACAAGCAAATGCTGAATAAGTCATTACTTGCTTGTATATCACAAAGCTTAATGTCATTTCATGTAAGTGGTGATTTGAGTTGTGATTATGTGTGTTTCCATGGTCCTTCACTATGTGCTTTATGTGATGTACTGTGGACTTCATAGTGAGATCTGTTTTGTTGTAGTTTGCACAGCTGGAAGGAGCACGGTACTCCCATTGTGGGTTTTTTTTTCTTTTAACAAACAAATCCACTGGTTGATGTGTGATGTACACATGACAGTAAGCTGGCAAGTGATGGTGAGTATGTCACTCGATACTGGCTGACTATTTAGGAAAGGTTCAAGCTTTCATGGAGCTTAGGAAACTCTCTTGAAGCTACAAATCAGTTATTGGCGTATCTTTTTTGTGCGTTGTCACCATTTGTTTTCAATTATGGATGACTTTCCAAAGCTGATTTCATTCCAAGCAGTGCCTAAGGATGAGGTCAGTGAGAAGAAATGATTGCTTGGACAGGTTTTATCTTTCCAGTGGTTAATTTATCACTTCTGTAAATAAAAGATAATCTGGACTCTTCTTTTATATGTCGTTGTTAAACCCATGCCATGCCAAAGAGTAGAGATGGGCAAGATCTTTTTGCAGTCCTATGTAGATCGCAATTGCCAACTGATAATTTCATTTTTATTCCAGATGGATAAGGTGATCCATTTTGCGTGCACCATAATTACAGTTTATGAAGCAGCCAAATAAATACACAAGCTGCCATCTGCACTTCATCAGTTTCTTTTATAATAAGGGACAAAATTTTAGCTGTCAGTTGTACAGATAATGTGTTTATTGAGTGGTTGTGTGTTTTAAAAGTAAAAATCCAGAAGTCAATATGTCCTTCTGTTCTTGCGTGCGCTTTCTTCCTCCTTACCCATTTGAAGAGAAGTTGGCTTCAGTTTGGGGGCTTTTTTTGCTATCTTACTAGAAAAGAAGCTGTGCTATTTTTTCACAGAAAAGGGGCACCCACAGGAAAGGAACAAATGGTTCACAGGTAAAAAGCGTAAAAGGTGGCCTGACATTGCCAGTGTACTTCCATGCTGACCTTCATTAGATT